GCTTGGTGCCAGCAATTTTACGCAGGATCTGGAGAATTTTTCACGAGCTCAATTGACAAGCCCATTAAAAGAGAGCGAAGGTAACTAAAGCACTCACATTCTGATGACGTCAAAGCTTTTAAGACATCACATTCTGATGACGTCCAAGCTTTTAAGTGCTCACATTCTGATGACGTCCAAGCTTTTCAGTACTTACATTCTGATGACGTCCAAGCTTTTAAGTACTCACATTCTGATGACGTCCAAGCTTTTAAGTGCTCACATTCTGATGACGTCCAAGCTTTTCAGTACTCACATTCAGATGACATCCAAGCTTTTAGGTCCCCACATTCTGATTACGCCCAAGCTTTTAAGTACCTACATTCTGATGACGTCCAAGCTTTTAAGTACCCACATTCTGATGACGTCCAAGCTTTTAAGTACTCACATTCTGATGACGTCCAAGCTTTTAAGTACTCACATTCTGATGACATCCAAGCTTTTAAGTACCCACATTCAGATGCCATCCAAGCTTTTAGGTCCCCCACATTCTGATTACGCCCAAGCTTTTTAAGTACCTACATTCTGATGACGTCCAATCTTTTAAGTACCTACATTCTGATGACGTCCCAGCTTTTATGTACTCACATTCTGATGACGTCCCAAACTCTCACAGCTGGTTGAAGTCCAGATTCTCCTGTCAGCACGTAGCGACCATCAGGGGAGAACTTAACGGCTGTTATACTCTTTCTTGGGGTGTGGAGTGTGCCAACCTGTCTGCAACAGGGGTATGGGTGTAATATAATTGTACGGGGAGTGTGTCCACCTGCCTGCAACAGGGGTATGGGTGTGATATAATTGTACGGGGAGTGTGTCCACCTGTCTGCATCAGGGTTATGGGTGTAATATAATTGTACGGGGAGTGTGTCCACCTGCCTGCAACAGGGGTATTGGTGTAATATAATTGTACAGGGAGTGTGCCCACTTTCCTGCAACAGGGGTATTGGTGTAATATAATTGTACGGGGAATATAACATTTTCAAGCACAAAAACTGGAAATACTATTCAAGATATACAAAACAACAACAAAACGATTTTAGAAAAAAAATTGTTTTTGCAAGTGTCTGCCTCTAAACCGGGGGAGGCTGCATTTTGTAATGTTCGATGTCTTAGTCCGTATAAAATGTATTTGTTGGAGATAATAATACAGGGGAGACGATAATACATTGAAGGCAAAAATACAAGGGAGACAATGCTACAACGTCTTTCAAGAGCCGTACTTGTTTTTCACACTGTCCAGCAGGACGAGGACACACCCTGCCGGATACGCGACCATCCCTGTCCTGGGGTGACAGGTCAGGGCCGAATTCGAGTAAGCCGTCATCCCTAGGACGTGCTCAAGCTGTAGTGACGTTTTGGCGTTGTCGCACTCCTGGGCCTTGTCCGCATCCACCGAAGACAGCCTCGGGTTGGCGTCTCGCACTTTCAGGAGTGGCTTCCTCTTGCCCGGGCTGTTGCCATCCATAGCTTGTTGGGACATATGAAGTATTTTTTTTTTAAATCTATCATTACTGTCGGAAAGAATTATATCTCGACTCCGAAATTTGACAACGCTTAACCCGGAAATGCATCTATTCTCCTGGATACAAACAAACAAACAAAGAAACAAACAAACAAAAACACATGTGTCCCAAAACTTAAAGTTAAACTGCTCAGCATTGTCATCTCGGGAATGCCAATACCCTCTTGCCTTTCACTTAACTATTAAATCATTCATCTGACGTTCGACATTCAATTTTCTCACAATTCATCTGGGTTCAAGACTGGTATCAAAACGTTACGAGATCATCGTCAGTTACTACACACCAGGGCCGGCGCTAAGAGGGTGCGGGACCTTGGAAAAATTGAATTTTACTGGGGCCGTTTTTTTATTCCGCATGCATCGGTTAAGCATGTGACTCGTGAAACCTAAGGAAGCTATTTGGAAAATTGGTCTGACCCCAAAATCCAGACCATTTGACTATCTAATAACTCCGAATATTGTGTTGACTGGATTAGGAACTATTGGTATGCCTGGGTATATTATAAATGTACTACGGCAACGCGCGGGGCCCCGCAAACGCCCACTTCGCTATTCCCTAGCGCCGGCCCTGTTCACAACAACAGATAATCCAATGATACTTACTAGAGTTAAACATCAATCGTTGGTATCCAAACGTTGAGTTACTACACAACAACAGATAATCCAATGATACTTACTGGAGTTAAACATCAATCGGGCCAACTCTTGATGTTTCTCATTTAGGCATATTGGTAACTAATTTTTTTCAGCAGACGTCATGTCTTTCCCCTGCGACAACTTGGATTCACAAAGAATTGACAAAGATGCCATGGATTCTGATGTATAAAATCTTAAATGGGGGAGAAAATAATAAAAGTACGAGGGAGACAATAATACAAGGAAACAGTAAAACAAGGTAGACAATAATATAGGGGCGACACTACAACTGAGCCGTTTTTGCTTTTAGTTGTTGTTTTTTTAATATTATTTTCTAAACCTTTGTAGTTCAGGAAGAGTAGCTGGGATATTATTATTGTTACATTTTTTAATTTCAGTTTTGCTGAGCTAAATATTTATCAACAATTAGAAATCGAAATTTTACACACGTGCGAAACTAATTATAACTGATAAAAGTCTATAATTTTTTGGCAATTACATCCTGAATTAAGATGTTTTTACTTAATTCATTTCATTTTTAGTTCTTCTATGGAAATCGGCCCCCCGGTGTCTTTGTTGATCAAGGTTGTATTATGTCGATTTTACAGAACAGAAGAGCTCATTTCGTGCACTCATTTCAGTTCTGCAGTAGTGCCAAGCGATGCTTTGAACGCGTTCTAACTTATCCCGCGAACGTGTGCAGGCCTACAATCACAAGACGAGATGGTCATGATTTGTGGGAACGAAAACGCTTCTTGTGAGTCGGTCTTAAGAATTCTGTCGTATTCTTCTTCTTCTTTATCTTAAGGGCCCACGATCAATTTATTGATCATTTTGGCTCCTATGCATGTAGATGGGATTTGAGATGTTTCTTTGCCTGGTGCTGATGAGGACATTTCACTGATTTCAAGTGCTACTTTGTGAGGGAATCATGCACTAGGGGTTTGCAGGCTTGGGGCAATAGACACAAATGTGTCTAGTGTTGTCGCCTCAACCGTTCATTTTGAAAGCTTGTTCCAATCCCTGATTGTCTTGGGCAGGAATGAGCAGCTCCTATACTGGCTTCTTGCTGGTATGAGCCTGAATTGCCTGTCATGCCCTCGTCGCTGTCTAACCATGCTCCTCTCTGATCTTTTTTATGATATGTTCGTTTACTTACATGACTTAGTTTTTTGACAACCTCCTGAATCTACCAACTCCATCACCAAGTCCTGGGGCTGAATCAATACAAATATTTAAAACAAAGGCGTAAGTATAAAGCATGTAGATAATTTTTTAGTTAAAAACATTCGTAAATTTGGCCATTACAAGATCAACGCTAGCCTGGCCATTTGAAATTTTGACATTCATCATGGAGGTCAACTAATTTGTGCATTCCCACCTCATTTCAAGTAGGTAACTCTGACATAAGGTTTACACCCTCTGCTAGGAATCTTGGTTATATTCTTTCTAACAACATGTCTCTCGATAAACACATATCTCACATTTGTCGTTCAGCATACACCACTATCCGTCAAATCAGCTCCATACGCCACTACCTCACAGTTAGCGCTACAAAAGCTCTAGTCTGTGCTCTTGTTCTCTCTCGTCTTGACTATTGCAACTCTCTTCTGTCAGGTTCACCAAAACACTGCATAGAAAAACTGCAGAAAGTTCAAAACTCAGCTGCTAGGCTAGTTTTAGAGGCAAAAAAACGTGATCACGTCACTCCGCTACTCAATTCCCTTCATTGGCTACCTAAACAGGCACGCATTGACTACAAGTTGTCTGTTCTCTGTCACAACTTTTTCTTGGATTCCTGCCCGTCCTATCTAACCAAACTTCTTTCTGTCTATTTACCCCTTCGACAGCTTCGCTCCTCTGCAGACACGCGTATTCTTTCCGTTCCCAAGACACACACTAAAACATAAGGTGAAAGATCTTTCTCTTTCTGCGCCCCCAAACAATGGAATTCTTTGCCACTACACATACGCAATATACCAACCACCCAGGCCTTCAAAACTGCACTAAAACATATCTTTTTAAATTATACTACCCTGACTGATTCCCCTACTCTGACCGATAAACGATCTTGCTGGCTGCCGTCCATGGTTTGTCTTGTAAAAGTTATGTGGTGGGGTGGGTGAATAGACATTGCTGTTCTTTATTTTATAAATGTATTTTATTTTAATGTTATGTTTATGTCTCTTTTGATAAAATTTGTATGTACAGCGCGGTGAGCCCAGCCCTGGCTGGGGTACTGCGCTATATAAGACCTATTATTATTATTATTATTATTATTATTATTATTATTATTATTACTCCTTATAATCACGGTCTGTTGGATTGTATTTCTGCCAGAGGTTCTCAGAAAGTGGACCACGGTTCGCCTGAGAAGCAGCAGCTTCTTGAATTCTTCACAGGGACAACGCGAAGTTTACTACATGCGTTAGACATTATCTTTTTGGTATTGCGTTAATTGTTTGAATTTAAAATGGTGTCTTTGGAAAACCTGAGTCACATGTTGTATATAAAAGGTCGTGATCACGAGCACAGTAGCTGAAAAAAAGAATGGGAACCTCTTATTTAGCATAGATTATTTTGGTAAAGTAAAGGGCGGTAACTTTCTTGGCAACAAATAAAATCTTTATTTTATTTTTTTAAATTATTTATTATACATGATAATGTTTTAGGAGCAATTATTACATGTCTAAATTGTAAATAATTTTTCTTTTTTATAAATTGCAATACGATTTAAACAAGTTGAATCTTTTTATCCAATCATATGTTAGCGTTACTAGCGTACCCATTTGTAAACAATATGGCGCAAGGTCGGCCATTAAGTCGCCATGGCAGATACGAAGCTCTATTCGAAGTGCCTTTAGGTGACGCAGAAAGTGACGGTGCATATATTTTTTATTTTAAAAATATGTTTTTTATTTTAAATACATCTATATATTTATAAAATTAAAAGTTCTTTGCACTGTTTTTCTTTGCAATTTAAAATAAAACTTCTGAATCAAACCAGTTTTAGGTCACTTGACTTGAGTTGAGTTTGAGACATTCATTTTTTATTCATTTGTTTTGTAATTTTAGTTTTGTGTGACGACGTTGACAGACACACCATACGCAGTGATTGACTTAAGTCACTTGACTGAGTGAATGAGTGAGTAGAATCAGAAGACTGAGAAGTACTACACTTGGCTTTTACTATTACAGATTAACGGTCCGGTGATTACTTCCGATTAGCCTTCTAATTCTATTCAGTATTCAGTAAGTTATACCTTTTTTTTTTTTTTGGTATTTTATTTTGGGCTTAGGCTAATCATCTAAATCTAAGAATTAATATAATCCATTTTAAATGTATGGGGCATTATAATGTTATTAGTATTATGCCTAATAAGCCTAATACTAGGCCTAGGCTAATAAATACTAATTCTAATTATTATTTAGACCTTCTTATATTATGATAATAATATAAGCATCAACCAATAATATCCTAATAATCAATTATAATTAGACCCAAAATATTGACATAGTGATTAGGCACGCATTGACTACAAGTTGTCTGTTCTCTGTCACAACTTTTTCTTGGATTCCTGCCGGTCCTATCTAACCAAACTTCTTTCTGTCTATTCACCCCTTCTAATCTAATCCATTTTAAATGTATGGGGCATTATAATGTTATTAGTATTATGCCTAATAAGCCTAATACTAGGCCTAGGCTAATAAATACTAATTCTAATTATTATTTAGACCTTCTTATATTATGATAATAATATAAGCATCAACCAATAATATCCTAATAATCAATTATAATTAGACCCAAAATATTGACATAGTGATTAGGCACGCATTGACTACAAGTTGTCTGTTCTCTGTCACAACTTTTTCTTGGATTCCTGCCCGTCCTATCTAACCAAACTTCTTTCTGTCTATTCACCCCTTCGACAGCTTCGCTCCTCTGCAGACACGCGTATTCTAATATTAATATAATGAATGTGGTAATTGATAAAACAATCCAGGGTGACATTCGATTTGTAATTAATTATGAATTGTTGAAATTAGGTCTACTTTATAATTAATTAGTAAGTTGAAAATTAAGTTATGAAAATCAAAATTTAAATATTTTAAAAGGATGCTCTACTCTTTTTGTCAGATCTGTAATTGTAGTCGTGGTTACCAGATAGCATATTTAATTTAAGCAAGCTAGATTACTATTTGACTATTTGTAATTAAAAAATTAAAAAATCTAAGTTTGCATTACAGTACACACACAAAGTTTGTTCATTTTGAATCCATATATATTTTTGGTTTTGCTGTCAGGAGTAGGGATTCTAATCTGTTTTATGTTTAATTGGTCAGTAGTCATATTTAAAAAGCCGGAACTTTGTAAATTCACCAGAAATTGTGGGTTTTGAAAATTTCCTAACTTTACTGCAGCATAAATTTTACTTTTTACATTTTGCAAGTCATGGAGATCTGTTGGAAATTAAAGACCATTCTCAAAGGACCAAGTTGACTGTCGCTTCATTGCAAAGGAAGACATTTAGTTTAAAATTTTATTTTAGTACTTGAAAATGTTTATAAAACATATTTTGTCCCCTGCTACTTCAAGTTCTGATATGGTATGACAAATTCCTTCTTAAGAGAAAACATTTGGTGATCTAGGATGGGGAAAGTCTGGACAACTTGACATTTTTAATGATTCTTAAATTCTCTAAAATTATCACATTGTAAATACACATGTTCTTTTATTTCTGCTTAGACAGACTTTTATTATATTTAAAATGTTAGCTAACCCAATTGTAAATGGTAGGTCCAAATGAAATTCCGTTAAGGCTTCTAGAAACTAGTTTCTTCTGATGGCAAAAAGCTGCTCAGAGTTCTTGACAAAATAAAAAAGGATATGGAACCTCTTAGAAAAACTAATTTCTAGGGACAAGAAGAAAAATTGAGGATAGGACTACTTTACATTTTAAACTTAATGAATATTGTTTAATTTATGCTTAAATATCACTGATCAACTAGACATTTCAGTATTTACAGGCTTGTGCTGTTTAGCAGCATGGCATCCATACTTTTTAATTGGAGGTAAGAGAGGGCTAGTCTCTTTTATCAAATTAGATTTGTACTCAAATTATTCAGCATTAATGATTTCAATTTTTAAAATAACATTTCTTTAATTTTTTTTACAGAATTCTATAAAAGGAAAAAGAATACACCTAATTCAACATCCCTTAGACCAAAAAGTGGTTATAAAACCCGTGAAACATGCATATACGACGATTATGCCCGGGTGAAAGACTCAGGCATAGAACTAGTGTCCACTACAGAAAGTGATAGGTAAGTTTATGAATGTTTACTTTACATAGCCCAATGCCATTACCCTCAACTAGGGCAATAGAGTCTGAGAATGATTGAAGGGTTATGTTGTGAACTAGATTGTTGTGAATGTTGGGTAGGGGGAGTCGTGAATCGTGAGAGTGTTTTGTGAGTTGTTGATCGTGAGGTCAAAGCGTGAAGTTAGTCCGTGGTGTGGAAGGTTTGCGTAGGCTGAGTTGTTTGGGTGGTAATATAAAAGGGGATGTGTGTTAGCTAGAGGTCAGAGAGAGAAGAAAGGTAGAAGAGCAAGAGAAGAATTGTCAGTCTTTGAAAGTTGTCAGTCAAGAGTTAGTCGAGTAGCGATAGGAGCGACACGTTAGTCGAGAGAGTAGTGCTAGGAGAGTGGATAGTTGGTAGTTGGACTGATGTGTGTTCCACGAGCCATAATATATTGTCATTGAATAGCAGTATCCTGTTTTGTAAAGTAATAATAAAATATTATATTGTTACACTGGACCTTGTGTTTTATGTGAGAGGAGGTATCAAACTAAAGTCGTAACATTTCAACATTTCAGGTCGTAACAGGTTAAATCCCTACCCAAATATGTATTGGTATTTGATATATTTTATGAAATACTTAAGCCATTGAGTTTTAATGCGTAAACCACCATTAAGAGATCATACACCATATATTAATTGATCCTATTAATGTATCTATTCTAAAGGTGTGAGATAAACATAATATTTAAAATCTTAAAAACCCTTTCACAATTATTACTATCGTCAAACAGCCTGTGGTAAACAATAACAGTGATTTTCAAATAAATTAACATGCCAAAAAATTAATTATCATTCATATCTTCATTAAAGTGTGTATGTTAGCTTCATCATTCTTGCTTACTTTTTTAAAACATTTATTATGGGGGTAATTTTAAAAACAGGTGTTTTTGTTTTTTTTCATAGAGGCAAGATGTTTACATCAAGGAATAACTCTCTTTCTAATCTAATAAAATGTATATTAAAAACTTACAGATATGGAAGAAGAGATCAATTTTCCTTTCAGCAAGCAGCCATAAATGATCCTCAGAATTCCTTGACATCCGTCCCTTCTACCTTCAGCCCTGACCATTCCCTAATTAACCAAACACATTCTGTGAGCGCCATGCAGCCCAAACCACCCAGCTCTTCAGGTAGGCCTCCCACCAGTGGTAGACCTTTCAGTGCTTCAACCAGGCCAAGATCAGCAGCTAGAAGATCCATAGACTTGACTGAACACCCCTCGCTTTCTCCTGAAGGTATTTACATTTTTATTTTTTAGGGTTTCAAAATTTGTATTTATTTCTTCCTAGTTCTCTTCTTGTAATTTATTGCCATCTTTTAAAATACATTTGTAATAGTTTAAATTCTGAATGCTGAATTCTTTTAAAATACATTTTTAAAAGGTTTTTTTTTTTACTTTTACCTTAAGCTTTAACAGAACAGTCCCCTCGACCACCTTCTGCATTCTCTAAATATCAAATACTTCCTGCGATTGGAAGCCCCACCCCACCAGATCAAGATCAGTCACAGGAATTCAAGACCATTCATGTGAGAAACAAAACACAGAAAGACCAAGACCGCCAGCCTCATCCTTATCGTTTACAGTCACAAGTCTCTCCTCATCTGAGCTCTAGCTCAGACAGCAGAGAGCCAAATGTTAGATCATCATCTGGTTCGGCTCCTCCCGCTCCATCTTCTCGAACTGCTGCAGGCTCAGATATACAAAGTTCCAACAAAGTAGAAGAATGCATAGAAAGATTAGATTTATCCCAGCTTGAAAAAAGCAGGAGAAAAAAGAGTACCTCCAACACAAGTCCCAGTCATGCCAAGTCCAAAACATCTGCAGTCCATAAGGTTGAGCACAAACCAGGTGAATTCTATGACGCAGATGATGATGACTCTGATTCAGCTTATTCCAATAGGGTGTCTTCTAGACAGCAGCAAACAAAACTTTCTGTGAAAAAACCTGTCGTCATACCATCACCTGATCACTGCCCTACACGAGAACTTCTTATAGCAGTAAAATTACCAACAGATGGAACAAGGCACCAACGGTATTTTAATAGTAATGAATCCTTACAAGCAGTTGTGGACTTTGCTGAGGAAGTAGCAGGGCAGGATTTTGGGGGTTATATACTGGTGTCCAATGCACCAAGACAAGTGTACAGGGATTTGTATGAAACAATTGAAAATGCTGGTCTTCAGGATAAGCTGGTCTTGCACTTAGAAGAAAATGATTGAAACAAAACTTAATGCTACAAATGCATTGCCAAAAAGTGTCGATTTTCAGAATTTTACTTATGCCTGCAAGAGTTTAAAACATTGGATGTGGTATATGTTTTGCTCCGCCGTTTCTGTTTAAATCTAATTACAGAATATTTACAGAAAAAATGCTTACCTTCTATTTTTAAATAAATGACAATTATATAGATCAATACAGATTCTAAATCAACAAATTTTGTGATAACTTGTTCCTGGAATGGATTTCATTTTAAGTCTGCTGAGGGCTTTTTCTATTTCCCTTTTAAGCTGCAGCTGTTCATTTTTGTAAAGGTGATATATTTTAACTGATTATTTTACAGTATTATGGAGTAAATAAAAATGTAATTTCACTCTTTTAAACTTTAAACATTTAATTTTCTTGCTTTTATTTATTGAATGTTTACATTTTTTTTTTTTTGCAAGTTAAAGTTACTTTGATCAAATTAATTGTGTTTATAATGATCTCAAAAAATTGCATTTTCTAGGATTCAACTTTGATTTTTTAATGTAACCCAGAAAATGGATAGGCTTCCAGACTAAGGGGTAAAACTGTTGACAATCTGAATTTCATTTGGCTAGAAACAACACAAGAAATAGTCTGCCTCCTCATCCAACTAGTACTAGTCATCAAACAGTTATTGACCAATATCATGCATAGTTAAGAATGCATGTTGTGGCTAAAGTAAAAATGAAACCATGAGCTTCTTAATTATTGATTCAACCGCTGCTCCTGCTCATCTGACAAAACCATTTTTTTTTTTTTTTTTTTCCTTTATCCTCCTAGATGATAATCAATATTTTTTAAATCAACAAATTTAATGTGATTAAAATTGACAGCTTAACTTATTTTTTTAAAACTAGTATTTTTTTTTTTTTTTTTTTCCTTAATCCTCCTAGATGATAATCAATATTTTTTAAATCAACAAATTTAATGAGATTAAAATTGACAGCATAACTTATTTTTTTAAAACTAGTTACATGCTTCTCACTAAAGTTTAAAAAAGTATTTGATATAGTCACTTAAATAGGCGTATTATTAATGTACTTTAAACAGTTAATGCTGTAACAAATGCTGATAACCTGAACCTTTTGGTCTTACAATTTACAATTGGTCTTTGAAGCAAAGACAATGGGGTCCCATTTTACATTGTCTCAACATTACTTTAAGGCTGCGACTATTTGTACCCAGGTGCCAAAAGTGAGAGGTAGGGATTAAAAAAACTATTTAAAATATTATTGTTGGGTTTATAAGACAAAATGAGGTATCAATTGAAATATAATTGAATGGACTATATGTTTGTAAACTTACTTCTTCAGTTTAACTAAAATAAACTACTACAAATGACATCCGAATAGCATTGGTCTAATGGGGCAAAATATCTTAAGAATTAGGGCTGATCTGGGTGCAGTTTTTTTTAAACCCGGTCCGTATTATTTTGAGACAATATAAAAAAAAAGGGTTAAAAAAAAAAATATTTTCTCGTTCTCTATAATATATAATATAATCTATAATATATTCCATCCAATGGGGGGGGAGTGAAAAGTGCATTTGTAGAACCAGTAGAGACCACGAAGGCATCAAAGTTGAAGGATTCAAAACGCTTCTAGCTTAATAATATAATCTTAACTCAGCGACTCTCAAACGTAATAAAACATTTGCCAAGTTGTGATACATTCACACACCTGAAGCGTGGAAGATGCCCAAATTACTTTTAAAAATAATTAAAATCTTATACTTATATAATATTTTATTTTAGAAATGATAAGAACCTGCAAAAATAATTATTTTAAATTAGTTGCTGTCATCTAATAAATGAATCATAATGGGTCTTTTTTATAGGCAGCTGTAGTTTGAGTGTAGTAACAATAAAAAAAAATTGTCCAATCATTGTAAATAATATTTACATTTTAAAACGGAACTTCAAATTAGAAAAACAGCACATTTTGTGCACAAAAACTCTTTGTCAGGCGACCCCCAAGGAGATCATGACCCACAGGTTCAGAAACACTGCCTTAACCCATAAACTTATCATAAACATAACCAAAATTTAAAAATCCAATGTGGAATTTAAAAATCCAATGTGGAACTTAAAAATCCAATGTGGAGTTTTGCTATGAGCGTTAGTGTTTCTCTTTTCTGGTACCAAAAAATGCATATTTTATTTTTAATAAATATTTATAACATCAATATTGTGACACCATCCCAGCCTTCCAGAGTTTAACCAATTGCTTCCCTTATTAAATGATTGTTAAATTACATAACTATTTTTTAATTCTATGACAGAACTTAGAGATGAATCACACACTCAAAAATATTCTTTGGCTTCTGGTATCATCAGCCAGTCAGCATTTGAAATGAAAAATTAATTTGTAAATAGAAAGTGCCATGGGCATCACCAAAGACATACATCTTGCTAAGACAACTAAATACACACACTTCACAGCAAGAACATATTATTTTCAGTGTTTTGCAGTTTCATTTAGTTTAAATTTGGTCTTGTCAGTTTTCTATTATTATTTATTTAATTCAGATAAATATTTCCAAAACGTTATGTAAAAAAAAGATGTACTAGTTCTATACATGCACTTTTCATTTTTTTTCTCTTTGGTTGGAATACATTATAGAAAATGATTTTTTTTAAGCACCCGGGCCTGGTTCCATTTTTACCTGGGGTGTTTTAATATCCTGCTCTGCCCTATTCCTATCATCAGCCATTCAGCATGTGAAATCAAGACTAATTGTACTTGATTTCACATTAAGTGCCATGGTCATAACCAAATATATGCATCTTGCTAAGACGATTTCGGCAGATGAACCAGCCAGAAGGCTCACAGGGAGGTAAATAAGATTGTTAAGTACATGGGTGCAAGCATGCTGCCTTGCCTTATTTTCTGTTGGCTTGAAAGTTCTATACTCATTTTTTTTATTTTTTCATTCAAATTATAGTGATTATTCCATATTTGATGAATATAGAATAGGTTATGATTTGAATAATCTTCTTGTCAGATGCATAAGATCATTTCATTTTTAACAGTGCAACCATAACAGACCAAATTACCTTTTCTCTTTACAGCTACCTGTCCAAAAAAATATTAACCAGCAAATGTTTTATACATATTTCTGATTCTTATGGCATAACAATGTTTTTTCTTCAAATTTAAAAAAAAAATTAGAATTAAATCGATCCATGTTATGCAGATCCCCTAATATAATATCAACTTGCAGGCATGATATAACTAATCTGTGACAAACAATCTTGAATGGCATATTTTTTTTTCCTATAGAGTATAGGAAGAAAAATTCATGAATGAAGAGCCATTTTTTTTATTACTTTTAAATCTCACATGTGGTTACTTCACAACAAATTACACTTAAAAGAAAGTGAGTGATTTTAAAAAACATAATTAAAGGAAGAAAAAAGAAACTAATATCTTATTTACATTTTTGTGTTAACGGAATCCTATTATTAAATTATAGTTAAATATATGTGGTAGTTTTCCATACAAAGATGGGACATAACCAATTTCTGTAAAATCTGGATTATCAATAACAGAGTTAGTGTAAAGAAAACCGCAACATATCTTCTATTGTGTCTTGATTTTTAATGACAAGGAAAATGGATGACATAGGAAAATGATGATGAGTTTACAAAATAAAGAAACATTACAATCTAATTGCTAATTATGTCAAAGATGTGAATTGATGTGGTTAGAAACCTCATTTTTTCAAATGAATGTCAAGTGCCAGTTATAAAACTTGAAATTCTATCTTTAAATAAAATTTAAAAAACACTGCATTTTCACTCAATGCGTACTTACATCAAATACATTCAGGCAAATTAATGAACGTTAGGTAAAACATGACTACAGGCACGCATAATAAAATTATTATAATTTGAGGTCAAACAGTAGTTTGACAAAGTAGCGAGACACTTCATAATTTTAAAAATACTTTTACACCAAGAGATGAACTAACAAAAAAACATCACATTATTAAATGCTGCCTGCCCTCAAATGACACAAAAATTATGTTAATAAAAACAAAATAGAGGATGAGATTAAACAATGGTTTTAATGATCAAAAAACAAGAACCTTGATGAAGTGGGAAGAGGAAAAAAAAAAGTATTTTTACAACTCGCCACTATCATCACCACATTTATTGATGAAATAAATGCCTCGTACTTCCCATGCTAGGTGTTTTTCTTTTTTAAAAGCAAAATGCATGAAACAGGAACATGATTTTCTTTAAATTCTGAAGATTTAATTAGTAACAAATTACATTACAACAACAACAAAATGTATCAATTATTATTTTTATTTTAAGTTGGAAAAAGGTTGTTTAGTATTGACAATCCAAACACAAAAAAAAAAAAGTGATCTTCATAAGACAACTGCAAGTTATAACTGTGATATGAAAACGGTCTAATACAGTGGTTCTCAACCTTTCTAATGCTGCGACACTTTAGTACAGTTCCTCATGTTGTGGCGACCCCCAACCACAAAATTATTTTCCTGGCCTATATGTGTTGCCTGATGGTCTTAGGCGACCCCTGTGAAAGGGTCGTTTGACCCCCAAAGGGGTCACGACTCACAGGTTGAGAACTGCTGGTCTAATAGGTATTTCAAGACCTGACAATGTGGTAGCAATATAAGATGGGACAAAAAATAAATCAGTATAAGTGATGAATACATATGCATGAAAGTTTTCTCCACAGAGTGGTAGGCCACACTTTCCCCAAGTCATCTAGCATCCTTCGAAAGGAAAGCTAAATTTACTTACTTCTTTATTCAGTTCTTTACTTTAAGTGTATTAAATTTTTCAACGTCAAAATTCATGGTTTTTTTTAAATTTTAATCTATTCAAACCTAATAATCAATTTTAATGACATTTTAAATGTACTGTCCTTATTCTATTTACTGTCAACTACTCAAATAATATATATTTATAAATAATTTATAATTTGAGAACTAGATAAAATTGCAGTAAATAAAGAGATTACGTTTTGAACGCTATCTCTATTTCTCTACTTTGACCGATATTTTTACTCTGTAACTGTAGCAGAGGAAATCATTGAGTAAAAAAATGTCAGCAGCATGTTGGACTTTAATAGCAACAATATTATCAAAATTATTGACTATCTTTTCAAAACGTCTGAATGTGTGTTCGGAAAGAAATTTATAGTATTATGACACATTAAAAAAAAACATAGTGATTTACACAAAAGCACCTTAAAATTTGTAATGTTCATATTGCATGACTTTTAAAATCAAATGAAAATGAATCAAAAATTTGAAAAAATACTAAAACGCATTTTCTAAAAATAGGAGAATTGTACTTTATTTACTCAAATTAATTTTTTTAAATTGCTTTCAATGATCATTTATGAATGGGGGTTTTTGTGAGTACAAAACCATATGTAAATAAATTGGTATTTCAATTGATGCATACAGTTTCTCTTTACCAATTTCTTCATCTAAAAAAAAAAAAGATATTTAACTTGCCTACATATCCTAATACATTGATAACAGTCTAAAAATAGTAATGAGTAAGATGTCGCTTTTTAAAATGAAATTTCTCTTCACGTATCAACTTGTCCTCCATGAAAAGATGTTTAATTTTTTAAAAAAGCAATCCACAACAGAAGTGATCTGGCATACATGATTTAATTAAATTTTAAAGACATGTTTTTTTTGTTTCTTTGTGCTGGACTGTAACAACCAAACTACTCAATGCATCATACTGTTCAATATAACAATGCCATAAATAACAAGTCAACAATTATTTCAGCCCAAAGTTACAGTTTTTGGGTACATTTTATAAAGAGTTCTGAATTACAACTAAGAGATGCTAACAATGCGCCCCACCCTTTAGTTGCTTATCAGAATATCTAACGAAATCCATACACTGCAGGTCAAATGTATGGCAACAACAGGTGGTTTAATTTCATTTCGCCAACTAGAGATCACTAAATTTTAATGTGGGAGGAGAAAATTTTTAAAGATATAAAAATTTGTTGTTTCTTCTCACTTAGCCAATTCTGGGATAAGACATAGAACTATGTTGTAGTCCATCTACCTATTTATTAAACAAAAAAATTTTTAAGGCAAAAGTTCATTGACAATGTACATAATGTTTTTTAAAAACGATAATAATATATATTGTTAACTTATAAAAAAAAACATTCATAATTTTGTTAAGTACCATTGATCATCCCTGCTAACTATGTAACCTCTAGTCTCTGCAACAGCTCATCATAAAACCTCAGCATAAAGGTAAATCAATGGAAGGCAAAATGTCTAAATCTGTCCACAGAAAATATTACTGAGATCATAATCAATGGAAACCATGCCTTGCTGCGGATAGGTTTTCAATTTTCTTTTTTAAGAAAATAAACCAACTAATTTTTTGACAACTCTGATCACGTAAATAAAAGTTTATGTCAAAATATTAATGCCACAGAAAAAACAACTTGAAACAATCATCATAAAAAGATTCTTCTGTTCTCCTCCGTCCAAATTTTTTATGTTAAAATTATTGTAAAAATTTGTACAGTATTTAACATTTTCAAAACAATGCAAAACATGGTCAAACAATTCTTTTTTTTTTTTTTAAAGACTAAACTGCAAACAATGTTAAGATTATAAAAAAAATTAAATCAAGACTATGCCCACACAGATCTAAGATACTTTTGAATTAGAATAAAAAATTGTGTTTCCTTAAATTTGACTCCAATGTTGAAGAGTGTGTTGAAACTATATTATGCTCATAAGACTATGGAACAAGCTTTGTTTTAATAAGATATAAGACTATGGAACAAGCTTTGTTTATAAAGATATATTTTTCTTATTGTGATGAGTTTTCTGAAATGACAGAGTAATTTTTAAAAATTTAAAATCTTGAATTTCTTTTAGTTTCAAAAGAAAAAGAAGATAATGTACCGTATCTAAAAATTATATTTCCATTAATTGTTTTTGATGAGAAATGAATTTTTGAGTGTACAAGTTGATCATAATGCTGACTTTCTTAACGAAAATGTACAAAAATGCCACTAGTATTTACTCTACAAATTTATTTTCTTCTCTTTTTATTTTTTTAAATGTCTAATTAGAGACTTACACATTTCAATTCATATTTCAATTACTTGGTAAGTTTTATTGGCCAGGTGTGTAGACAGGTAATTTGTCTATGGCTTTCTGCTCTTCTTCTGTGTCACATCTAGCAATTAGCAGTGTATGAGAGAAGCCACAGGAGACATGGTGAACATAAATTCCTTCAATTGGTTTCATTTCTTTAGGTACTGTTGAAGACTTGATGCCACCTTCCCCATAGCCCTGCACACAGATGAGTAACACAATTATTAAATTAAAAACAGTGCAGTTATGCAGTTTCCCACAAAGAAAAGTACAGCTTCAGAAGTCAACAAAGTTTTATTAAGCTTTCTTTAAAATTCTTAACTATTGGCTCAGAGGAAGAAGATGAGTTAAATAGAAATCCTTCAGCAGAATTTTAAGTCTTGATTTTAAAATATAAGGATTAAACAAGGTGGAAAAAACAGATCAATGTGGACATAGTTATTTTTTAACTGATAATTACACTCATCAGAAATTCTAAATTTAATACTGGAAGAAAAATAACATTGAAATGCTGCTACCTACCAGCTCTCCAAAGCAAGGTGATGGACCCCAGCTAACTACACTGTCATCTGCGGCCAGAACTATGCTTTTGTTGCTAGTTGAATCAATCAGAAGACAAATTAAAATAATGAAATGTCAACAAACAAAATCTCAGCTGGAGTTCAAAATTTTAAAATAATGTTAAATTATATATATATTTTTAATAAAAAATATTATGTACCTTGTTCCAAGGCTTCTTATTTTCCAGCCACAGAGGTCTTGTACCAATTTAGGATACATCGTGGCCTCACCAGCAGATTTAGTTTGACCCCAAAAGTACAAAGCTCCTAATAATAATAAGAGACAAGATTTTGTAAATGATATACTCAAAGGATTAGTGTAAAATGAACTATTGAAAACTAAAAGTTTGAAAAAACAAACATCTAGAGCAGTTTTATAAATCTATTTCACACAACTTATCATAAGATAACTAGCTAGTCGGCTTTTGAGGCAGCACAAATTTAACCCTTTACCGGGCAGAGCGGCCGAAAACGTCTTTAGTACTGAATGGGCAAAACGTCCAAAAGCGCCATTGACGATAGAGAGTTGTAAACTCGTCACCTCCGAGTCTTTGCGAGACTTCCTATTGTTTATATCCGGTTTTTCCGATAGCTGGATAGAGTGGGCACCAGTTACAAGTATTTAATTGATTTTTTTTTGTAGTTTTAGGGGTTTAAAAAATTTTTTTTTTCGAAATGGATTTTCTCAATTATTCAAGTGATGGCGGAGATTTCGCTGGATTCAATTTAAGTGACATTGAAGTGCACGAACTGACTGTAAATTGGATCTAGATATTAATATTATTAGTAATATTAGAGAAATCAGGGTAGTAAGCAGTGTTGAATTTTACAAACTTCGATTTTGTGGCAGTGTTTGTAAATAGTAAATAGATGACTCACAATCAGAAACAATGTTGTTTTTTGCAAATATGAGGATTAATGGCAACATGTGAGTAAAATTATAAATCTACATTCATTTTCCTTTATTTTGCTTTTTATTTCACAAAAATTTGTTGATAAACACCTTAGATTTAATTTTTTTGTAACAACCCTAAATCTTACTAAAAAACCGGAGAAATGGTGCCCTTTCAGGAGATGCAAGAGGAAGTACCTCTGCCCCGTAAAGGGTTACACGACATAAATACGGCTAAAATAATAATTACAATAAATACAAGACTACATTTCAGCAACTGTCCCCCCAAAACTTTCATACTTTTGATATAAATGTTCATATTGTAAAGATAACCTCTAGTTTTCCGAGCATGGGAATGACATACCAGACATTCTTGAAGAAGTGCATTTACTATCACCGTAGTTTCATTTTTTTTTAGTGCTTAACTGCCATCATCCATTACCATGTCCTCAATAAAAATAAAGAAAAGCCAACCCCTTCAAAACAAACTTTCTGGTTTAAGAGGGAATTATTCCAATTCATATGTGCGTATGAACTTTGCTTCTTGATAAATTGAAAGTTATAATGCATTTCTTGCATGTTTTGTGTACAGCAGCTTACAAAGGATTAAGTGTGCTCGTGCCCCATGCAACTAAAAGAAATATGCCCAAGTAGTTAAAAATAGAGGGGTACTGGTCATTCATGCACTAATAATAATACACACCATGCTCACTAACTGCAAGTGAGTAAGTAGAACCCGCAGCTATTGTCAGTGCTCCTCTGTTGGGGCCTTCAAAAAATTTGACCAGCCTTGGTACCATCTCATCTTTTGGCTCTGAGTGTCCAAGACGACCATAGCCACCAAAGCCCCATGAGAATACTCTCTTTTTGCTATCTGAGATTAGCTAAAAAGAAAGAGATATCTTTAATAATAACTATATCAAAATTTAAACAGTTAATAAGCAAATTGGCATGATTATATGGATTGTTTTGGTTAACATTTCTGAGTGAAACTAAATTCATCGAAGCACATTTCAATGTTTGTAATTTTCTATTTTCAGTTATAGGAACTTATTAAGTCCTCCTGTTTTATGAATTTAGTCTCTCATATTGTGTTTATTAATTCACATGTAATATATTATATAGTCTAGGATTATCCTAAAATAATTTTTTTTTAAACTTAAAGCAGTATGTGTGAAGTTTTATCTTTTATTCACCTGATGTCCACACATAATGCACAATTCCTGTTGAGGCTTCATAAACCCCAATTAAATAGTGAGAGAAGTGAAAAGATATAGAACTCACAACATGGTTAACACCACAGGCAATCTCTCGGACATCAACATCTGTCACAGGTGACACCTGGCCATCCCTTTGCTTCTCAACAAACACTGTGATCACTCTTGGGACATTCTCACACTGGAATTCAATTTTGTTGCTCTTCACAAAATATTTACCATCAGTATTGTGACCTAATGAATGGTATTTTGTAAACAAAATTCAAATACATGCAGATCATTGTTCTATAAATTCTCCAAGTTTCAGACCTTTTCCCCCCTGATAACATCTCAGAGAAGTAGATTTTTGTCTAAATTGCGTTAAAGTGCGGTTATGTCTTTAGTTATGTGAGAGCAGTGGTTTTGATAAGACATACCAGAACCATAAAGCAATAAAATTTGTTCTAAAATAATTTCTGAATAAAATGACTCTTCTAAAAATAAAAGACTTGTTCTTGTTATGCATTTGAACATTTAAGCAAATGGCCAAATCCAAGTTTAAGAAATTGTTCAATTAATAACATCTGTGTTTAGAACTATAGAAGCAATGAAGTGTTACAGTTTAGCTAGAAGAATCCGAGTAAAAATAATAGTTACAAAATTTTGACAATGTCAGAGTAATCATTTGTTTTCTATTGTATTAGTGATGGTTTCTAAGAGCCTTTTATTTTAACTTTTGATTTCTCCCTTAACTTTTTTTCTACAACTATATTCTCAATCAAATTTTACCTAATTGACCAAATTCAGGACAACCGAAACTGTAAACATTCCCATTGATATCTGAGATTACACTGAACTCTCCCCCACAAGAGATGCGTCGAATAGGTGGACCTTTGTATCTGATTAGTGAAGGAGAAAGAACCTGTTCACTCTGATTTCCAAGTCCGAGCTGACCCATTTTATTTTCTCCACAGGCATACACTCTACCACGCTCTGTAAATTAACAAAACAATTTTGAGAAGAAAAAAAAAATGATTAAAGTCAGCTTAAACACAATGCTAAAGTTTTAAAAATACCTAAAAAGATGCTTAATGTGAATCATTTGCTAGTCAAGATTCTGTCTACCTGTTAGGAACAGAGTATGCTTTCTACCACAAGCAGCATCAACTATATTTTTTCCATCAAAGGCTGTCACTATCTGTGGAACATCATGTCGGTCCACACTTCCAAGACCAAGTTGTCCTTTTTCATTGCGACCTAGTAGATGCAAAGGATAAACAGTTTTTTTTTTTTTTTTAAATTCTTTTTAATGTATTCCAATTAATTAACTTATTATAAAAGGCATTTCTGCTCCATATTATACAGTACTCTAATGATAATTACTTATTTACTGATGCAAATCTTACTATTAATGACATTGGAAGCATTCCTTTACATAAATGTTATAATAGAAATACATTAACTTGTTTGACAAAATAAAATGTATAAGTATAAGCAATACTATTCCCTGGGTATTAAATAATTCTATACCACTACATTTAATATAATAATTTTAATTACTTACCCCAAGCATAAACTTTGCCTTCATTAGTTATGGCTATGCAATGGGCAGCTGTGCAACCAGACACAACGGTTCTGATCTTCACCCCTTTCAAAGCTGAGATTCTGTTTGGGCTCCATAGATTTGGCCCACCAACATTTTTCACTAGTTCAAAAAAATTAACACATCAATATATAAAATCCAAATAACCTAAAAAGTTAATGTGGTCAATAAGAAGAGTCCTTGAATATCACTAACACATTAGAATAAATCTGAATTTTCACAGACAAAATCTATATAATCTTCTAGCCAAAGACAATATCCAATTTCAAAGTTGACCATGCTCCAGTGCCCTTGTCCTCAGGACAAGGCATTGAGTAAGGACTGAACTAAAGAAAAACATAAAATTCACTATACTGATTATACAGCTTATAAATCAACAAATTTAAATTTATAATGCAGTCTATTTTCTATCAAATGTTTATAATAATGAGATTCTTAGAGCTTTATTTTGTAAGACCCACAGAATGTTTTGATGTCTTAATTTTTTTTGCTGTGTCACTAATTTATGTCCTGTCACTCTTCTTATTTACTGACAATAGGTATTTGTACAGTTTGTAAACTCTGAAACTTGATCAACTTTTATCTTCTTTTACTCTCAAAATCCTTTAAATAGTTTTAAAATCTATCCTACTCATTCAAATATTCTAATTTTCCCATCTGCAGGCTGCATGACATGTTGAGTTATCTACACTTACTGCCTTTAGGGAGGGCCTTTCTTCCGACAAGATCCCAGTTTGTAGCACCACAGAAAAGAAGTTCTCCTGCAAGCATGGGTGCTTCAATTTTCTAGATGAGAAAAGATTTTAATTTAGTAAATAATAGGCTCCCTACTATCCTCTGTCAAGAACTAAGTTAACTAAGCCCCAAGTAAAATTCAACATCTGTCATGGTCATGGGTAGACAGCAGCTAACTTGCAGAGGGACTAAAATCAATTGCCTCCACAAAATGAGCTGTCCTCCAGAATATAAATCTGGAACTTTTAAAACAAAAAGTGTAAATGTAAAAAAATGTTCATAATAATACTATTAATAATTAATACATCAAAACTCAAATTCAATGAAGTATGAAGACAAATAAACACTCTGAGAGATTGCTAAATTATTATTACATTCCCATTTTTTTAAATTTAAAGTTGTTGAGAAACATGAGTTTGAATAAAGCCAATAAGGGGCTGTACATTAATTATGTCAACAAATTTTTGGCGATTTTTACCTCCCCCCTCCCCCTTGTCAACAACTTGTCAAACTTCCAGAGACCCCCCTATAAAATTATGTCAACATTTTATTACACACCCCCCCCCTAATTAAAATAAAATGGAAAAAACAACAACAATATTTTAAATAGACTAGTTTACAACTACATATAAAATTATGTCAAAATTTTATTACACACCCCCCCCCTAATTAAAATAAAATGGAAAAAACAACAACAATATTTTAAATAGACTAGTTTACAACTACAACAAAAGAGTGAATAAAAGTAAAATGTTTAGAAAAAAAAGTTAAATAAACTTTTCCAATTTATAACTACAAAGGCTTACTCTAAACAGAAAAGAGATTATAGGGTTTACAAAAATGGATACATATTACTATTACACCTTTAAATTGTGAATATATTTCAAATTAATATAACACTTTAAAGACTATTTGAATATTTACAAAGACTTGTTCTAACTTCAAGCAGAAACCAGATTAAAAAGTTAAACTATAAATACATTTTCAATTTATCAACATATTTTTTTACAAACAAATCCAAATCTTATATCCTAGCCTCTATATCTTCCCATGGAGATGTCAAATGTTTCTCAATTGTTATTATTGGCATAGGTTCATAGGCATAGGTGTGTGCATATTTATTTCTGTGTGGGGTCTTTTTAAAGCACAGCACGGTTTTTAAAAAGAAGGAATTTAGTTAGTTTAATTTAAAAACACTGAAGGTTGGGTGAGTGTGTAACACAGGACTAGAAACGCTGCCTAATTTTCCCTTGTTAAGTGATTAAACTTATTAAAAAAAGTAACATTGTTGACGTCAACTTTTCTTGGCCTCCCCCCTCCCCCTTGTCAACAATTGTCAAAAATTTTCAGACACCCCCACCCCTTATTTAGTTGACATAATAGACAGCCCCTAAAGTGTTTGAGATTTTTTTTTTAAATAATAAAAGATCATAGTTTAAGTTAGGCCTGCATAATATTTAGTTTAGTTTAATTAAGTCTAGCCTAAAATAACTAGTATTAGTAATATTTTCAAATAATTTCAATTGAGTATTACTTAACTTAATATTAATAACTTAGCCCAGCCTATTTTATTTTCTTCGACATACAAATTACAATAATAATGGACAAGGACCACGACTTCTACTTGCTTTAGGATTTAGTGTTAGGCTAATATACAACCTATGTATGACCTATTTTCGACATAGTGGGTTTGTTGCACTTGACTACTAATAATAAAAAATCATTTTAAAATATGTTTTTAAAAAACACGAAGTTTTAAAAATTAATTCTTAAAATTAAGAATGATGGGAAAACCTGACAATATTTGTCTTAGGTCTATTTGCGATTTCCAAAATATACAGTGGCTTTAACTTTAAATTATAATTAGGCAATGACCAATAAGTTTTAAATTTAAACTTACATACGACACTCCACCATCATCGTTGTCAGCTTCGGTCCCTTCGGCCTCATTTTCCTTTTGATCCTCGCTTACTGTATCGACAGAATTTGATGCAGACTCAGAACTTTTGACATCGTCTTGATTTTGTTTACGTTTTTTTGTACTGCCATTAGAATCGGCATCGTTGGTCCGCTTTTTGGGAGGCATAATATTTTATGGATATTCCAATGACAAAGAAAACCAAAACAAAAGTGGGGCAGAAACAGGAACCGCCAAGCGATTCATGCAACTTAAGTCTCACAACCTCACGCGGATTCCCGCCATGTTGCTACGGGACGAGTGTTTGATTGGTTTATTTATGAATTTGGGAATATCCAAACACCTATGTGTTTTGTTGTTGTTTTTTGTTTGTTTTTGTTTTTTGTAAAAAGGAACTGCTGGTCAGGCTAAAGGACTATAATGGTGGTTTTTTTATTTCAGGTATTTTCCCAAGTGTCAGAAGTGGACCATGAGTTTGTTTACCCCCACCCCCACAAAAAATTAAATATATATTTAATGTCACTATTAATATTATATATAGGGCTATATTATATATTACTATAAATATACATATATATATATATATATATATATATATATATATATATATATATATATAAAAATAAACTTTACCTTAACATAAAAAATTAAATATATATTTAATCTAACTATTAATATTATATATAGGGCTATATTATATATTACTATATATATATATATATATATATATATATATATATATATATATATATATATATATATATAACAATAAACTTTACCTTAACATAATCAGCAATCCATAAATAACGGCATTCATGGAGGGAGGGGGGCACGATTTTGTGACGTTATATAATGAGGGGGTCTAAATTTTAAGACAAATTTGTGACATTGATTGGGGGGGGCAGAGATTCAACATCACGTGACGCCATTTATGGAAAGTTCCTAGGGCTAAGCGTTTTACCCTTTTTAAAAAAATAATAACTATCATTATCTAATCGTCAAAATTTAAAGAATGCGCAGATATTTTAAAATGTATTACATCGTTTCGCATGTTTGTTTTGTTTTTGGTTTTTTGTTGTCTTTTGTTGTTGTTGTTGTTTGTTTGTTGTTTTTTTTTGTGCTTACATCCGTCCGTCACAATGTGATGATGGTGTGGGCTTCGCAGGACGAAATCCGCAAGGCCTGAGGTTATTCTTCATGGATTATATGCTGGTTCCCAACAGCAAATCGCCTCTCTCCACGCCGCTGGATAGCCCAGGGTTTGAATTCAGAGTTTCCTTCTCTTAGATAAGTTGCCATCCAAGGTTAACGAGTCCCATCTATCTTTTTAAATATTGATTCTCAAACTGTGGTAATTACGCATTTCCAAGCGGTACACAGTGATGGACGAAAAGACAAAGATGGTCCCCTGGCATGGTGGTGATCATTGTTAGAAATTTATTAAAGGGTTGTGACATTCCAAAAGTTTATAAACTGTTACTGGTTGTGTTTGAAAGGGAAATAAATATTAAATTTGTGTAATAAAAATTCAATTTTTAAAATGCCATTGCTTGCGGGCTCATTGACTTTTGGGGCCACTTGATCTCCAAGTTAGGTCCTTCAGCTCAAAATATCACATACATAGTAGACCTACATCATTGGAATGAAATGGCTTTCAGCAAGAGTATCGTTATTATATTTTTATCATTTTTTAAAAGAAAGTTCATTTAGGTTTTTGCTGGGGTAATTTTTTCCAGGTACATCAAAGCTTTTTAATTGAGTTATATTTATATAATGAAATCGAATCCAATGAACTATGCTTTTTTCATTTGGTGCCCCCCCCCCAACCATGTCTTCAACCCCGATATGCATCATTGCCCATATCAGCAACTACTTGACTGATACTGCCCTGAGGCACGATGACCAACGGCCACAGACAGCACGGGGACAAAAGTAACAAGTACGCCCGATGAGGGGCTTTAAGCCTTGAATTTGAACCTCAAATGAAAACTCTGATGCCCTACCGCACATGTGTCAAACTCAAGGCCCCCGGGCCACATCCGGCACGCCGAACAATTCTATCAGGCCCGCGAGGTCTTGACCAGCGTACAATTATATCCAAGTCAACGCTATAATGGTGTTTTCTCAATACACACTTTGCTGAAAGATTTGAAGCACAGAAACATAATTTCGAGCAGTTTCATAACCCATTCGTCATAGACGTGGAAACTGCACCTGTAAATTTGCAGATGGAGCTAATAAAGCTGCAGTGTAATGGGACACTAAAAGCAAGAACGACACAGTTGGGCCTGCACTGTTCACTCGTTTCATTCCTAAAGAAAAGCCCCAGCTTCGTCTACATGCGGCTCGAACCTTGAACATGTTTGGTAGCACATATGTGTGTGTGCAGCTGTTTTCTGTGATGAAGATTAACAAAACATCATAAGAATCTCAATGACACAGAACTTTACTCCCAACATAAACGAACCTACTTGTTTTTGTAGCCAAGAAAATTTGCCTAACATCCAGCTCTGAAAAATTGGCATAAGAACGAAAATGGGTATGCCAATGATTTTTAATTATGAATATTTTTTTCTGTTTTTTACATTTATATAAATGTTGGGTTTTTAAAAATATTAATTTCCCCCTTATTGAATGTTTATCCTGTTCGGCCCACAACCTTACATGTGATTTGAGTTTTGGCCCCCGAGCGATTGAGTTTGACACCCCTGCCCTAGCGACTGAACTAACCGGATGGATGACATTAATAAAATAAATGAAAGGACTGCTTTCAAGCTTAATAAATGAATGAAATAGCGAAACGAGGTATGTGGAAGCTTGAAATAAGATAACAGGACAAAAAATATATTTGAATGCAGTTCACTTTCTGTGTTATTAGTTCTTCCGTCAATTTGAAGAGGACAAATTGAATCATCTGATTGGTGCTGGGGCTGATTCTTAGGACCAATTGAATCATCTGATTGGTGCTGGGGCTGATTCTTAGGACCAATTGAATCATCTGATTGGTGCTGGGGCTGATTCTTAGGAACAATTTAATCCTCTGATTGGTGCTGGGGCTGATTCTTAGGACCAATTTAATCATCTGATTGGTGCTGGGGCTGATTCTTAGGACCAATTTAATCATCTGATTGGTGCTGGGGCTGATTCTTAGGACCAATTTAATTATCTGATTGGTGCTGGGACTGATTCTTTCTTTGGGTGCGCAGTTGGCCGATGAGACCGAATTCGGGATGAGATTTTAGAGCTAAAGATCGTCTGTCATTCACACAACATGTCCCACCCGGGATAGCGGGGACTGCATTAAAAAACGTACAAATATACACCGTATAGATAGATTAGAGATAGGAATCGAACCCTCTTTTTGAAGTTCGAATTCGATTCGGTAACAGCTTAAAGTTCGGGTCCGGTATCAACTCAGGTTTATGGTTTGTTACCGGTCGGTAATCATTAGGGATGTAATACCTTTTATTTTCCTTCTGCAAACCGGATATTGGTTTAGAAATCCGGTTTTAAACCTGATTGCCTATTTCCTTGGTTTTTGAACGATACAAGTTGCTGAAGCTGGATAAAGTAAAAGTCGGCTACATAGTCTTTTTTATTTACCTTGTCACGCCTTAATCTAAATCAAGCCTACGCGCGAAAGGGGGTGAGGGCGGAGAAAGGTGGTTAAGGGAAGATATAATATATATTTATATACAAATTAGTTTTGCAATTGGATTTTCTAGTTGTACGTCTTTCTGGCGTAAGTTGTGATGTGCTACATTCATAAAACATAAAGGTTTCCAATATGTGTGCGGTATAACTTTCGGGTTCGTTCGCAATCAGTGCCTTGGGCACTTCAAAACAAGGTGGTGTCAGAAGAATCTTAGAGATTTTAGGAACTATTACCGAGCATAAGGGAGCTGGTGACAGTCTGCACAGTCAGGGTTTCACCAGCAGGGTTCGAGTTCAGTGTGTTCAATTCGGGTTTGGTTCGATTCCCATATCTAACATACACGCTGCCGCTGGGGAGACTGCCTGTGCAAAGAGCTGAGACATTCTCCTTTCGTTAGATGTTAAGGGTTGTTCTGAGGCTCGTATTGTGTAAGCTCTTCAGCTTTCTTGTCTGACGTTGATAGACCGACCACGTTTCACAGGCATAGAGAAGCTTAGGGAGTATAGCCGCCTTGTGTACCTTTTTATTTTTAGTTTGATTGCTAATACATACATCTTTAGACATTTAGCCGTAGGTTGTGCTTGTTCTTACAATTCTAAGGTTCACCTCAGCATCTATGGCTCACGCATTTTAACATTGTGCTGCATATAGGTAAAAGACGTTATTTAATAATTTAAGTGTCAAGTTCATTTCATACGATCAAACTTACGTCAAGTTTTTGTTGGATCGCACTATTTTGTGTGTTTGGGCAAGACCTAGTGTCAGATCCATAGCAAGACACAGTGCCTGATTCATATATCGCAATACCCAGTGTCAGATCCGTAACAAGACCCAGAGTCAGATCCGTAACAAGACCCAGTGTCAGATCGGTAACAAGACCCAGTGTCACATCCGTAACAAGACCCAGTGTCAGATCGGTAACAAGACCCAGAGTCAGATCCGTAACAAGACCCAGTGTCAGATCCGTAACAAGACCCAGAGTCAGATCCGTAACAAGACCCAGAGTCAGATCCATAACAAGACCCAGTTTCAGATCCGTAACAAGACCCAGTGTCAGATCGGTAACAAGACCCAGTGTCAGATCGGTAACAAGACCCAGTGTCAGATCCATAACAAGACCCAGTGTCAGATCCGTAACAAGACCCAGTGTCAGATCGGTAACAAGACCCAGTGTCAGATCGGTAGCAAGACCCAGAGTCAGATCCGTAACAAGACCCAGTGTCAGATCCGTAACAAGACCCAGAGTCAGATCCGTAACAAGACCCAGAGTCAGATCCGTAACAAGACCCAGAGTCAGATCGGTAACAAGACCCAGTGTCAGATCGGTAACAAGACCCAGAGTCAGATCCGTAACAAGACCCAGAGTCAGATCCGTAACAAGACCCAGAGTCAGATCCGTAACAAGACCCAGAGTCAGATCGGTAACAAGACCCAGAGTCAGATCGGTAGCAAGACCCAGAGTCAGATCCGTAACAAGACCCAGAGTCAGATCCGTAACAAGACCCAGAGTCAGATCAGTAACAAGACCCAGTGTCAGATCGGTAACAAGACCCAGAGTCAGATCCGTAACAAGACCCAGAGTCAGATCCATAACAAGACCCAGTTTCAGATCCGTAACAAGACCCAGTGTCAGATCGGTAACAAGACCCAGAGTCAGATCGGTAGCAAGACCCAGAGTCAGATCCGTAACAAGACCCAGTGTCAGATCCGTAACAAGACCCAGAGTCAGATCCGTAACAAGACCCAGAGTCAGATCCGTAACAAGACCCAGTGTCAGATCGGTAACAAGACCCAGAGTCAGATCCGTAACAAGACCCAGAGTCAGATCCGTAACAAGACCCAGTGTCAGATCGGTAACAGGACCCAGTGTCAGATCGGTAACAAGACCCAGAGTCAGATCGGTAACAAGACCCAGAGTCAGATCGGTAACAGGACCCAGTGTCAGATCGGTAACAAGACCCAGAGTCAGATCGGTAACAAGACCCAGAGTCAGATCCGTAACAGGACCCAGTGTCAGATCGGTAACAAGACCCAGAGTCAGATCGGTAACAAGACCCAGTGTCAGATCGGTAACAGGACCCAGTGTCAGATCGGTAACAAGACCCAGTGTCAGATCGGTAACAGGACCCAGTGTCTGATTCATATGTTACAGGACCCAGTGTCTGATTCATATGTTACAGGACCCAGTGTCTGATTCATATGTTACAGGACCCAGTGTCTGATTCATATGTTACAGGACCCAGTGTCTGATTCATATGTTACAGGACCCAGTGTCTGATTCATATGTTACAGGACCCAGTGTCTGATTCATATGTTACAGGACCCAGTGTCTGATTCATATGTTACAGGACCCAGTGTCTGATTCATATGTTACAGGACCCAGTGTCTGATTTTGTAGCATCATCTTAATTGATTGGTCAGCTCATTTTACTGCACCATGTTGCTTGTGGTCTGTATGATGCTGCAAAGGTCTGTGTTATATCTTCGGCATATCTGGTAGAACGCACACCTGTCTCACACCTGAGCTTACCTGTAACCAATGGGAAAATCCATTTAGGGGCTACGCACCGTACAGCACTTAAACTGCTTGTAGAGATTGCCATTATATCGCCGAAGAGCTGCTCTTTCACCCCGTACGTTTCAAGCAACCCCCCCCCCCCCCAGAGTTTATTCCTGTCCACCCTGGCAAACGCCTTTTTTTTCATAGCCGACGAACATAGAAGAAGGTTTCGCTGACATAATCCACACGCTTTTTCGAACATTTGCCGAATGACAAATATTGCATTCGTGCAACTTGTGCATATCTAAGAAATTAGTACGCTGCTCCGTGATCTTTGTAAATATTAATGAAGGAACCGCCTCTGTATGTGCTGCGGTCTTTTTTTTTTAAAAATTCCTCTTCCATACGACAGCGTTTAGCCAATCTTCCTGGAGCGCTTCTCTCTCTTCATACTTTTTGGAAATATGACTGTTAGCCATTTGATACCGATCTGCCCGCATGCTGTGATGGTTTCTGTTCCGAATTCTTAGGGAGTTGAAATTCTGTACATATCTTAATCTCATGGTACGTTTTTGATTTTCTGTATTGTTCCAAGTAGGCCTAAACACTGCACCGTTTGTCTTTAAATGTAAATCGTAAACTAGCGGTGGGACCTACAGTCGGGATGTTGCAAAACAATAATAACACCAAACTTCAAGGGTGCGGCTTATAGTCAGGAGTGGCATAAAGTCAGAATAAGGGTTCTCTCCCAGGATCCCATAAGACTTCCCTGGAAATGTTCACATTCCGAGTAAACACTTTCAGAATACAATTTTCTTGTCTTAATAAAAAAATTAAACAAGTATAACAAATTCAATTTGTTACAAATTCTAGTCAATTGTGCTGAATCACAAAGCTTGGTACCTTCATTCACCCAAGCGTTTTCAAGACACGACCACCTTCAGCATGTGGAAGCAAAGTGACCCTTACCACGATATATTGGAAGAAAGGGCTTTTAAGTAGGGTAAATTATTGGAAAGGAAACAAAAATTAAAACTTAATTTTCCATTATAAAGTAATTTGTGTCATGATTGAAATTATAACTCTAAGTCTAGTCTAATTGGACACCAACAAGAAACCTATTTAAAATCACTACTTCTCTTAGTCCATTGTTTCAGCCGGCTATGATTGAAATTGTAACTCAAACTTTAAGACACCGATTGAGAATGACTTAAATAATTATTTTAAAAATAATGTACACATTTTTTTGGTGTTTGGTATAACCGTTGCAATGCAAACAATATGGCGAACACCTGCGTGACTTTAATGTAAACAAACGAGAATGACGTTATTTTTTGAAGGCATTATGGATTTTACTTACTGTTTTTTAAAGAGTTTTAGATTAAAGAGTTTGAAAACTCAATATTTGATATCATTTTCGGTTAAAATTATTTGAAATTTATTGTATTCTTTGTTTTAAATATCAGACCCAAGCACACCCTCACTACTCTGAGCTGAGTTACTCACACTGTACGTGTGATGATTGAAGAAAGTTTAGTAGAAAGTGTCAATTTACCGTTGTCATTGTCAAATTAAAACTCAAAGTCACCTGGACCAAGTTTCAGTTCAGTTAGAGTAAGTATTTGGTTAGGATTAAATTAGACTCGCTTTTTACTCTTTAACTTGGACTTGAATTGTGTTTACTTCATAATTTATAATTTTACTCTGATGAGTGAGCTGTCATGAGTCATATGAGCAGATGATCGATTGCTGATTATGTCTTACATAATCTTTATCATCATTATCAGAAATGGAAACGGCTACTTTTTCATCCATTTAAAATCCTCAGTATCATCATCGCAAGCTGGTTCATCTACTACGACTACATCTTTGTTTTCATCATATTTCCTTTAAATTCTCTTCTTTATACCTCGACTGCAAATGTTGATTCAAGAGTAGAAATAAAATCTATAGTGAAATTTGAGTAAACCAAGGTAGTAATTGTGTACTTATTCAGTCTATAAAATATGAAATAAATTTAGTGAATGACCCAGGTTTGTAGTTGGATTTGTCTACTGATGATGATGTAACTTATTGGATTGATTGCGGTCCCACAAAGACTGTCAACACCACATTGGGTCTTTTGACTGACAAGTCTTGCTATCATTTCAGACACAGGAAACCTGGATAATACTGGCACTGCTGGAAGAACTGATTCAATTAATGTCCGATTTGGTCCACACTCATATTCAGTGGTTTCAACATCAGATTTTTTAATGTTGCTATCATGTCTGGCATTACAAGGGGGACGCAGCAAAAAATGATTGAAGCAAACAATTTTGCTTTGTATATACCCAATGCAGCCCATTCATTAAATCTAACGGCTAGAATGCTGCTGACTGATGCCTAGAGGCAGTTAATTTCTTCTCAATAGTGCAGTTGCTGTATTATTTTTTCCAGCATCGACCAACCAGTGGCAAAATACCTCTCTAATAACTACATGCTATGGCTACAGCAACAGTATTGAAATCTAAAATTTCAGAAACACCTGCTTGTATAGCTGAAGACCAGTATCAAAAGGGAGATACGATAGAAGAGAAGCAAATAATGTAAATAGAATTTGCCCTTATGTTGAATTTTTGTAATGAGATTTTACAAAATGTTTCCAAGGTAAGCCAAATTCTTCTGGATGGGGATGTGCAGATCTCTAAGAATCATTAGATGATCAACTGTGTAGCCTACTTGACGAGATCATTTAAAAAATATGAAGCAACTACTAAAGAAATGTTACCAGATGCGGATAAAAAGCTTACTCAAAATAATATAGAAAGAAGTCACTCAATGACACTGATGGACCAGCAGTACACCTAGATGTGAGAGACAACTTATACCTTTTCTGCAGTTACTGATACACTACAAACTGAGATGTGAAAAAAGGAAGAATATGATAGAGATTGTCCATCTAAATGATGTGTCCCATACTCATCATTATCTGAAAATGGCTGGTATTTTCAGGATTTTGAAAACTTATTAATGCTTCCCCAGAGGACTTAACAAAATAATTTTCCAGCTGAGCTTTAGGAGATTCATTCTTAAGTGTGGCATAAAGTTATAGCAACAAAATCTGTAAAAAGAAAATACTCTCATGCAGAACTTCATAAAATAATAGTAGAAGACAATATTAAGTGTGCCTTTTTGCGCAAGTGCAAATGTGTATTGCATTAATAGCTGTAGTTATTTAGAAGTTAGATTTTGCAAGGAATGTTGAAATGAACCGGAGAAAAACAATATGTTGAACCCCTTGTATATAATACCTTATACATTCATTAGCCTCGGAAAATCCCAAAAAGTGTATCAACCACTCATAAGCCTCAACCATAAAATAATTTTTCAATGTAAGAAATAAGGTACTAAAGAAAATACTTCTGAAAAACATCCAGACTTTATTGTGGAAGTAAAAAAAAATAAAAAAATCTATTTAAAAACGAATAAAGATACAGAATATTGTATAAGACAGGTACTTGCTTCTAACCATATTGAACATTTATAAAAGTAGATCACTGACGCATTATTGCTTTGTATTTCAAGGCATGTATTCTATCAAATAAAAATTATGCGTTAAGTGCATTCTGGTTACTGGCATTAAATAAAGGGCAGGTGCTCTTACCATTCTAAAATGGATTTGAACTGCTGCTACAATTTTAAAAAATCTGACATTGTGATGTGAAACAGTTAGGAATGCAATTTAAGATCCCAAACTTGTGACTCAGTTTTGTACATAACTTATGTTAGTTACCTTTTTGGTCATTGTTTTCTTTAATTGTTTCAATGTACCTAGAAAATTATAAAAATTTCCGACCACCCCACTTATTTCCATGAAAGTTTTTTTTTAAAAAGATTGATTTAGAATAAGTATATTTGGTCACATTGTGCAAAAAGATATGGATTGTTGTACACAAAATTACAACATAATTTTTTTATTTATAATGTTCACAAGTTTTTTGTATATTTTGTAAATTATGTAAATGGTAAGAGTATATAAGTTTTACAAGTTTCATTATCATTACATATTTACAAATTAGATTTGTAATATTATGTTTTTTCAACAATAATCTAATTAAGGATTCTATATGTCAGTAGAATACTAAATTCAACGTGTTGGTCTTAATTTTATGCACTTTTTTTTTTATTTTGTAGGAAAATTTTTTAACTCGGAGAAGTCAGGCTAAAATTCACTGGGATAAAATATCAAATTAAAAAAAAAACAAAAGCATGGAAAAGGTTGAGCAAGATGAAGTGGGTGAACCAGCTGGTTTCACATCATGTGTCGACAGGGAGCTTGTTGCACATCCACTGATACAAGAGGGGGCAGCTTGTGTGCTGGCTGATGCACACAAAAGTCTGACTTTTAGCAACATGCCAGAAGAAATTTTGGAGCACATATTATCCTTTCTTTCACCCTACAGAGACATGGATGCAGCAAAACTTGTATCCAAGCAGTGGAACAGAATTATAAAGTGTGAGTTTCAAACTTAAAAAAGACAAGTTTAATTACGGATGCAAAATTTATTCAATTGATTAAGATACAATTTGATAAGAGTCTCAAAATATATTTTAAAAAAAAATCTTAATCTCGATCTCAAATTATTAGATCTACTGTTATAAATTGTCTGCTATGGTGAGACATATTTTGTTCCTGTTAAAACAAATATAAGAAATACTTTCTGTTTATGTTTTGAAGGTAATGTTTAATGCACTAATACTCAGGTCACGCTATCAAATTTTCATCAAATTTTTTTTGTGAATGGACTAATTAGTAAAACAAAATGGTTCATTCCAAAAGAAATTTGATGAAAATTTGCTGAGCATTAGGGTTTTTACAATTTTTTTAGCATTAAATGGTTATTGAAATTGAAAGTAACCATTAACACATTAAAAAGAAAACCATTAAAGAATTTCTTTTTAAAAAAAAAGAAAAATGCACCCACCAAAGTATTTCAAAGGTGAACATCAGGCATTTTCAAAATCTTAACAGCTGTTGTGAGCCAGAGGAAACGAAGGTTTTATCAGTCTGTGGCCAACTGTGAGGTGAGCTGGACTTTGCTCACCAAAGAGATTACCGGCCAAGGGAATCCTGAAAGAGGATACTTAAGGTGAGATAAGTTTTGTGAACAAGTTTCTAATATTGCTCATGACGAGTGCTCTAGAATGATAGGCCTTCTAACAAATTAATCATAAACACTTGCTCGGCTTTATTGCAACCGTAAGACTGAATTTTTGAATGGTAAATCCTTGTTTAATAAATTTGGTTTGTTTGGAGCTGACAAAAAAGATTGAGATAATAATAACCACAATTCGTTGGTAGCCTATTTTTGGAGTCATGTATTCCTGTGTTTTTTTTATTGGTCTGTTCATAATAGTTCCAATAATGCCGAGCATAACTGTAAGAAGTTTCATGTTTTTCCATGAAAGCCAATCTATTTTTTGCTTCAATTTAAGCATCAGTGACAGACATTCACACAGCGCTGCCTACCACGATGGTTCTATGTACATATTTGGTGGTTGTACATCGACCAACACAACTTTCAATGATTTGTGGAGATTTGATCTGACTACAAGACAGTGGATCCGACCCGTGGCCATGGGTAAAGCTACCAGCATAACTTTTTTTTTCTTTTTGAAACTTATTGTAACTGATCATTGTTACTGATTGTAACTGTAACTGCTTCCTCATCCTGCAATCATCAGTTATTTTTGCCTGGTGGCCTTGCTTGACTTTAGTTAACTTAAGTTACTCGATAAATCCATAGCACAAACACACTCACAGATAACATATGAAGTAAGTCACTTTTCCACACTACACTTTGTTACATATAATAGAAATACTACTCAGTGAATATTTTAATAAAGTAGATAATTGCATACCACATATTAAAAAGAATCTTGGGTAGGTATTCAATCTCTACTGAACAGAGAACAATCTCTACTGAACAGAACAATCTACTGAACAGAGAACAATCTTGACTGAACAGAGAAAAATCTCTACTGAACAGAGAACAATCTCTACTGAACAGAGAACAATCACAACTGAAAAGAGAACAATCTCTACTCTAATGAACAGAGAACAATCTACTGAACAGAGAATAATCTTTACTGAACAGTGAACAAATATCTACTGAACAGAGAACAATCTCTACTGAACAGAGAACAATCTCTAGTGATGAAATTTATGTTCCTGTTTTTGTCATGACTTCAAAATTACATTCTAGTAAAGTTATACCTTAGCCAACATAGAATCACTTTTCAAACACTGTGTAACCCTATGGGTAATTTGTCACTGATCCCAGGCGTACATAAGTGGCTATTCATTTTTATGTTTAAAATAACTTACATTATAGTTCAAAGAGACTTCCAGGGCATCAGAATGGCCTGCAATTTGCTAGCCATTGCATCATTATAAAAAGCTGACCCTCCCCCCTACCCCCCCCCCCCCCCCCGTTACATGTTACATCTGTTACTTGAACAGTTTCTACCTCACTGGTCACCTGTTACAGCCTGTTTAATGTGTAACAGAATGAGTCATACATTTATTTACTTATTTCTATTGACAGGTACTTATCCATCTCCTAAAGCCTGTGCCACTATGGTGGTTTATAATGGCACTTTGGTCTTATTTGGAGGCTGGAGTCATCCAATACCTTATCCTAATCCCCATCAGGTAAATGCCTCCACTATATCAGTTAAATGCCTCCTGAAGGATTAAATGAAGAAAGTTTTTTGAAATTGGAACAAATCTTATTTAAATTTATAAAAGCAAATTGACTTGAAATTAAAAAAAACAACAACTTATATTTGTGCGTTTTTTTTCTTCCCCAAAATTTCAAGTCCGCTCACTACTTTTCTGAGCTGCACGTCTACAGCCCGTCAACCAATCGTTGGTCTCATATCCTGTCCCTTGGTCAAGAGCCCGAAGCATTGGGTGGGCACTCTGCATCAGTTGTTGGTCATCTGATGGTAGTCTTTGGTGGCTCTCCCAGGACAGGACTTGGGTAGGTCTTCCTGTTGACATTTGTGTTTATCCTGCACCCACCATTCAAGCTGTTATCTATTTGAACAGTTACAGTTATTATAAAGAACCTTTTAGTTAGAAGATATATCAGGTCAGCAGTATCTGGGATTTTTGGTCAGATTTTGATACAGAAAGAATTCATTTTAAAGTTGGACGTTGTCCTTAAAATGGCACGGTCCAGTTGATTGATGACTTAAAAAACCTTTTCATGTTTAAATTCAGTTGTTTTATTGCCTTGTGCACACATATTCAGGACCAACAACGTCTGGGTGTTCAACTTTCAAAAGTGCACATGGAAACTTCAGCCTGTGGCCAGGGATCCAAAGCCTGAGCCGAGATACGGGCAATATCAGGTTGGTGAAATAATTAGAGCCACGACTCTGCAAGTACAAGACATCAGCCTCAAAAAACTTTCACTAGCTGTTGGTAATAAGACAGAAAGGCAGATGGGGGGGGGGCGACTTAACATGACCTTGGCCGCATGTTGCATGCTCAAATGGTCCCGAGGGTGAACAGTTTGTCGCATTAGGATGGACAGGGATACTTTATTTAAAGGGATGTGTGGCTGGAGGTGTTACCATGAAAATTCATCTGAAACATTCATTCAACAGTCTTGCTCTTTTTTTTCCAAACCTGAACACATCTTGTTCCACTGTTTGTTGACTGAAATCATCGCAATGTAAATTTTAGTGGGTAGTTTTAGATGAAAGATCAGTTGTGATGTCAGAAATATTTTGTGTGGGGAAAAAAAGTTAAGAGTCAAATAAAATGTACAGAGGTATGGAAGATGTTTTAGTCTGAACTTGTTTTTGTCAACTTACCAGCACATTAATGGGCAACCCTGCTACCATTGGTCATTTTTGTCAACTTAGCAGCACACTAATGGACAACCCTGGTATCATTGGTCATTTTTGTCGACTTAGCAGCACACTAATGGACAACCCTGGTATCATTGGTCATGTTTGTCAACTTAGCAGCACACTAATGGACAACCCTGGTATCATTGGTCATTTTTGTCAACTTAGCAGCACACTAATGGTCAACCCTGGTACCATTGGTCATTTTTGTCCACTTAGCAGCACACTAATGGACAACCCTGGTATCATTGGTCATTTTTGTCGACTTAGCAGCACACTAATGGACAACCCTGGTATCATTGGTCATGTTTGTCAACTTAGCAGCACACTAATGGACAACCCTGGTATCATTGGTCATTTTTGTCAACTTAGCAGCACACTAATGGACAACCCTGGTATCATTGGTCATTTTTGTCAACTTAGCAGCACACTAGTGGACAACCCTGGTATCATTGGTCATGTTTGTCAACTTAGCAGCACACTAGTGGACAACCCTGGTATCATTGGTCATGTTTGTCAACTTAGCAGCACACTAGTGGACAACCCTGGTATCATTGGTCATGTTTGTCAACTTAGCAACACACTAGTGGACAACCCTGGTATCATTGGTCATTTTTGTCAACTTAGCAGCACACTAATGGATAACCCTGGTATCATTGGTCATGTTGATCCTAGATAGTGAGGTTTATGAATGCTATGCTAAAAATGAATCTTCACCCACCCAGACGGCCACTGTTCAGTTTGTACAAACATTTGTGTGGAGAACTTAAAAGCAGACTTAGAGCAACGGACAAATGTATTTAAAAAAAGAGTTAATTTTAATTTAATTAATTTGTAGACTGGTAGATCTGATTTCTTCTTATTTTGGTTCTTTTCCTTTTCAGACAACACTAGATGAGAGTCACATCCTTATAATGGGAGGATCTGTAGGCGGAAGCAGAGTGAGTTAAGCTATTATAATGTTACACATAACGATTTGGGGGAGTGGGACACGTTTGAATGGTTAGTAGTTTTAAGTAAACTTGTAAACAAAAAGGAAAATCTCTGTGTTTTAAAATGTTAAAGTTGGTCGAGTTAAAGTGATCTCAGTGGTAAAAGATCAGGAGTTGCAAGGGGCTGAAAATAATTTTTTGTTAAAAGAACAGGATGATTTAATTTGTGTTGGAAAAGTAACTGTATCATGATGACATGTCAATGGCAGGTTTACAATGACATGTGGTTGTTGACCCTGCACCCCACCGACCCTTGGTTTTGGACAAGGATCAATGTTGAGCACCCAGAACTTGCAGCCACTCAGTCATGGTGTCATGCTGCTTGCAGAGTAAGATTATGTCCCTTTTTGTTAAAGTTTAAATTTACAAACAACATTTCTCTCTCCTCCTCCCCCCCCTCCCCCCCCCCAATCTTAACAGAACAACTCTGACAATGAAAAGCTTTTGGCATCACAGAATCATCCATTTATAAATATTTAAGATTAAATTAATTTTTAAATTTTTATTTATAAAAAGTGAAGAATTCTGTAATAAATCTTGAATTTACAATGTCATAAAAATAAACAAAATACTGTAAAAAGTCGAGAAATTAAATTTGAGCCAACCATGCATTTTATCCTGCAGGTCAACGATGTTATAGTGGTAGTGGCTAAATCAAATAAGCCGCGCCAGGCCCGCAACATCCGAACACGGGCGGCACGCGCGGGCCCACCCAAAGCGACAGCTTCAAACTGTTACGGTTGCGGCAGTGAGAATACCTTGCCAGCGTCAAACAATGTTGCGCAGCCCAACAGTCCGGTCAGTCCCCAAGAAGCCAGGCCTCAAAGGCAAGAGGACCTGAGTCCTTTGAAAGATCTCCAGCACATTTGTGAGGATGAATCTTGTAACAGGAATGTCAAGAATGGAGGTTTGTACACAGCTGTTTTGCCTGATGGGTGTGCGTACTCCCTCTTTAGCTTCAAGGGGGAAAAATGAATGCATGACACCTCTCCTAGGTAAAAATATTCCACTGGCTCCCGTAAAAGAAATTGGGTGATAATCGCAACAACAGAACAGATTATTCATTTTTCAAATTCTTACCTTTGGTTTAATTATTATGCTTCTCTAAACTGTGAGTTCAGATATAAAACAGAAATTTTATCAAAATCACCATGAAACAATCCTTAAATATCAGTTTGGTTTCTTAACATGATCATTTTAAACTACTATGAGTTACAATAGCTTTTTTTACAGTTTATATATACCAAGATGGCTTTATTAAATTTATTTATTTAGGCATTTTTATATAGCGCTTACCTTAAAGCTCTAAGCGCTTTACAATTATTAAAAACATGTAAACTAAGTAAAATAAAAATGAAAAACCAGAGACACTAGGATAGTTACTACTATACTATAGAAACAATTAAAATGGCTATAAAACGAGTATACATTGGCACGTTTTGGCCTATACTACAGGATCAATAATTAAATATTTTTTTTCATTAAATTTTAAGATCTGCATGATGACGACGATCAGAAAGGTCACAATTCGCCCAACAAAAATCTTCTGGCCTTGCAGCAGCGGCTACATCGTGAATGTGCTAACCTACCCGACCCAGACAACCATCATCACAATCCCCACGGTTTCAACAAAGATGAACCAGAGGGCCATTTCAACAGACTCAGTAGCCGTTATGGCCCCGAGGCGCCCACCGGTGCCGGGCACAGCCCATTTCGTGACCAACCGCAGCAGGTGGACCAGCCTCAGAATGGCAGCTTTCAAAGGGCGAACGTCCCAGCGTGTATCAGGGGCAGAGGAGGTGGGGTCATGCCTTCAGTCCGTCCCAATGCAATGTGCAATAGACAGAAGCAGCTAGAGGCCTTACTGCGTCAAGAAGAAATACTGAGGTCTAAATCCCGGGCCCTTGCCGCAGCCAGGAGTAAACAACCAGTTGAAGCAAGCAACTGCCCTGTCGTGGACGAGACCGTCCCCGACATCATCACGACGAAAAACAGAATGGATGCTCATGCCCTGAACATCAGTCGTGTGTTGAGCGATGGGGTGGCAGAGTGGAGGCCGCTCAGTGAGTTACAGCCGAGCTGTGCACCCACGGAGACGATTTGTTGCAGTATGTTAGAAGGAAGGGGGGAGCTGGTGCTGTTTGGTGGCGTGATCAGAGACATGAAAAGTCCTGTGGGGACTAACACGGCCATTAACAAACTCTACATACTTCAGCCACGGTGAATGGATGGTCAGCCTTGATTGGTGGGTTATTTTTAACAATTAATTGTGATCTAGATGTTAAACAGATATATATCTTTACAAGATGGAAAATACTATTACAGTCTTTGGTTCTTGGTAGTAGCGAGTCACAGAGAGATATAGATGACTTTAAAATAAGCAACTTGAGTTAAGAGTCAGGACTTTAAAATAATTAATTGGAGTTAGGAGTCAGGACTTTAAAATAAGCAGTTTTGGACTTAAAAATAAGCAATTTGAGTTAGGTGTCAGGCTGGCCTTGATGCTAGTGCCAGGTACTCTTTCTTGTGGTGGATATACAAGTTTAAAACAACTGTTGGATTAAGTTACTTGTTTGATTATATGCCCATTAATTATTGTTGAAATATTTCAAACAAAACATAACAGTCTAACTTATTCTAATTGAAAAAAATTCCCAGCCTAAATGCACACATACAATTGTTTTATTAAGTATCTGCTGCAATAAATGCTTAAGTAAGAAAACTGATTTGCGTTAGATTGCTGAATTAAAAAAATAAATTTGCTAGATAACTAGTATATTTATTGTAATTTTTAGTAAAATCTCCTTTAAGAAGTATGAATAACTCAGCAGTTTGTTAACTTATTTATTTTTCCATATTGATCAATTTATGAACCTGAGCAATGCATGGCCATCACACATGTGTGGTAAGAATAAATCATCTTGCATTGCAAGCAATTTTTATTCAGTGACTTAATAATATGAATCTTTTGTTTAATTGTTGTATTGCTTAATTGCTATTGCAATTCGTGTGCATAAACACATTTATTTTCTAGCTGAATAGATGAGAATTTCAAACTATATAAATATATATATAATACATTATATATATATAAATATATATATAATACATTATATATATGTGCTTGCAATCAAAAGTTCCAGCTGTTACAAGAAACTGGTAGACAGGAATTTTAAAGATATTAACTTTAGTGAGAAGTTTCTGCTTCTTCTGATTTAGGTACCTGCTACTTCCCAACAATTTCAAGATTGTTAAAGCTGAATCCATTTTTTAAAACCCCCCCCCCCTTCTTTTAATAAATTAAAAAAACAAAAAACAAACCAACAAAAGGTCATAGGAAAATAAACAAAAAATTTCTGACATATATATTGTTAAAACATGATGGGCATAATCATGAAAAATAAATTGTTTTTAAGTGATTTCAACATTAGCTTAATTATGTAGCACTGGCATGATATTAGCATTGACTTTCTTTGATGGTTGGTTGGTATAAAAAAACAAGAGATGTGTAATTGGACTATAAGAATTAAGCCATTTGTGAATATATCCAAGTCATTTGGATTGAGGAACCGTTGAATACCCCAAGTTGGGAACCCCCGATAGCAATGAAAGTTTTTCTCTTCTTATATTGAATCGTAGGATCAATTATACAAGTTACTGTTCTGATACTTTGTCCTAGAACAGAAAGAAAGATTAAAGCCTTTGAAAATAAATACTTCCAAAATTATATCTTAAATTTAGCACCTAGAATATACGCTATTCCCTTTTGTTGTTTCTTATATATTATTTATAGATATTCAGTGACAGAGTCAGCAACTCACACTATACATGTCTCAAGATGTGTCCTAACGCTGGTTTTGGTATCAGCTCATTTTTGTACCAAAATAATGTTTCTTACACTATTGTAGAACTGTTATAATAATGTCTATGAGATGTTGGATTGTTACAAAATTCATTATTTGTATATCCAAGCTCATTGAAAGGTGCTATATAATATATCAGTAAACTCATACATAATACAAGTTTTTTATTTTTTTGCCAGTCAAGTTTAGCATTGTGTTCTGTAGAAATTCATATTGGTTTGAAAAAGAAATTCATTGTTTATCTTGCATGACACATTAATGGATTTGATTTTTTTTTTTTTTTACTAACATTAAAAGGATGGGGAAACAGAATTATTTGACTTTATTACAATGTATTTTGCATGTTTGTCCGAATGTCTTTCTGTAAAAAAGTAAAAAACAAAACAGTTTGAAATTTTTGTAGAAGTGTAGAAAAGAAGCCATAGACCAATGTTAAAAAAATTATCTAGCAAATCATCACATTTTTATTCAAAAGTACATTAATAGAATTAATTTGTTCCACATCCGGAAGTAAACCATCACAACAAGAATTTTTTAATATTCATGGACACAAGAGCACCATTTATAAATAACATTTCAAAATAATTATTACAGTTCACACAAATAAATCAGGACAAGTTGACTAAAAGAATGATTAAGTTAAAGTCAATGGAAGAGCCAGTTAAAGTCAATGGAAGAGCCAGTCTTAATTACAACTATCTTTTTCATTGGGTAATGTGCAGTTTTAGGGAAATGTTTTCATTGGGTCGTGTGTAGTTCAAGGGAGATATTTTCATTGGGCCGTGTGTAGTTCAAGGTAGATGTTTTCATTGGGCCGTGTGTAGTTCAAGGTAGATGTTTTCATTGGGCCATGTGCAATTTGTTGATTGCGAATAAAAATTTCACGCTTGTGAAGTTATCAGAGTCGGAGATTGAAAGAGCACAGAGATCACTTGCTTTAACTAGGAATTACTAGTGAACAAAGATAGTAAAGCTCGGATAGCACAATCAAGTGCTGCAGGTGCCCACTGAGAGAGAGACTGCCTCATTCAGTTGCACTAAGACTGATTGAGCTGTTACCAAGTGTATCTTATACATGGGCTGTAGTGCCACAGGGATGGGATAAAATGAAAATATAAATGTTTTCAATTCTTATTTGGAATGGAGAGAAGTGCTGAAATAATCATGGGGGCTGGGCAAAGTGATTTGAAAATTATAAAAAAGGATTAAAAAAAAAAAAGTTAAAAATGTACTTGTATGAATCAAAATATTGAATTAAGTAAGGCATTTAAAAGTTACCAAAAAAAGCACTTCATAATTTTCTTGTGCCCAACACAGAAAGTAAATACTATCTCCAATACAATGAGAAAATCGTTTAGTTAACAATTACTGGGAGCATTATTGTTGATTAGATTATTTTAACAACCATTGTCATCACAGGCCATTATAGACATCAAGTATTTTTATTTTAACACACTGCATTAATTTAATTATCTGGAAATGTAATGACTTTAACAATATAATGATAACAATAAAAGTAATGACTTTAAAAATATAATGATAACAATAAAAGTAATGACTTAATATAATGATAACAATAAAAGTAATGACTTTAACAATATAATAGCAATAAAAGTAATGACTTTAACAATATAATGATAACAATAAAATTAATGACTTTCACAATATAATGATAAAAATAAAAGTAATGACTTTCACAATAAAATGATAACAATAAAAGTAATGACTTTCACAATTTAATGATAACAATAAAAGGAGTCAAAGCTAAACAAAGTTTATATTAATGGTTCATAATTATATTATTTTGGCGTCTTAATTGTTAGACTTTGAAATATATCAAAAGGGCGAATATTTTAAGCAGTTTTTCACATTGAATCTCATTCAAATATGTGTTTGTACTTATTTAGGCTTCAACAATCATAAAATTTAACAAAATTCTGCAAGTAAGACAATGCTATTTTAAGTTTTAAAAAATTGAATGCATAAATTATTCAAATCAGGATATCTCATTTGCATACTTGTTGAGATTTCAGTTTGATTCCTGAGGATTGTTTGAAGTTTATTTAATTCCCTACAAGAATATATAATATATAGTTTTATATTTGCAAAGTACTTTGTTTATTTTTTTTTGCTGGTCAGACATTGAGAAAAGGGCTCAGTCTCAAGCGAGTTTTAAAAATTTCAACATTGATGTGAAGAGTCTCATGCACCGAATCTCCACATAATATGTTGTCACGTGAATTTTTGGGTCACACGAGTTTGTAAACTGGGATGTAAATCTAAGGTAAAACGGGATATGTTTAAAATTTACCATGGTCTTTTAATGACATTCAGCAATCAACAGTTTACACTTCATCAGACATTTCATCCAGCATCAAAAGTTTACATTTCATCCAGCATCAAACATTGACATTTCATTCAGCATCAACAGTTTACACTTCAACATCAACAGTTGACACTCCGTCCAGCAACAAAAGTTTACACTTCAGCATCAACAGTTTACGCTTCAGCATCAACAGTCAACGCTTCGGCATCAACAGTTTACGCTTCAGCATCAACAGTTTACACTTCAGCATCAACAGGTTACATTTTATTCAGCATCAACAATTTACAATTCATCCACCATCAACAATATACATGATCTTAAAATAATTTTAGACTAGATTGAGAACATGAAGTGCTGTTGCATAAAAATAAAATGAATCTTTTCAAGTACCTTAAAAAAAAAATAAATCCATTCACAATGCGATCCTATGTCTGTCTCATCAACTCCCTTCCCATATCTGTGATTTTCCTCTTGAGTTTGCTGGTGTGAGCCAGTTTTAGGCTGGAACACAAGAATGGAAGCAGAAAAAACAAATTCCCGTCTGTTGGAAGGAGGTCAAGAAACTGAGCTGGGGGAAATATTTCTGTGAGCCTTGAAAGTAGATCTTAAACAAAGAAATGAAATTATTTGGATTAAGGTTACCCTTATTATTATCAATATTATTTTTTATCATTGTCAAGAGAGAAATTGAGAATGAATGTGTGATGAGAAACCAAGAGTAGTTTAAAGGAACTGGTAACAATTTTTATAAAAGGAGAAGGAAAAAAACATTATTCAAATCAGGAGATCTTTTATATAAATACTGGACATAAGAATAATTTAAATAATACATTATCTAACTTTAATGCTCAGATTTGATTAGGCAAGATATTTTGGAGCAATAAAAAGGGGCAGTAACCAATCCACAAATAAAGTAGATACAGAAAATAATAAGATTTTCATGGTTAGGTAAAAAAAAAAATACACCAAAAAAAAAACCCACATTAAGTCTAAAACTGGGATGAGACAAAAGATTTGAAATACGTGATATGATCAAGATTGCCCAGGAGATTTTTCCAGAGGCGTAAAGTTAGAATAATGTCCAGCAATAGTTCTGAGTTACCTTTGTAGGATTTGACGTAGCTTTCCTCCTTTGGATCTCCAGGTGTTTGTTGGAATTTCTTCAAGGTGGTCTCCATGTACCGCAGCACGTAGGTGAACTGGAAGATAAATGTTTAAATATACTGCTTTGAAAAATCCTGACGAGGAGACCACAGTACCAGACTAGGGAAAATGTTTAGGATTAAGCCCATTTCATTTAAGAAACATTATTATTTGGTCAGGCAACTTTACGTAATACCTTAAATTGTGAATGTGATTTTTAAAAATTTTTGTGTGAGATTTTTGTGTAACAAAAAGTATACCTTCTCAATGCTGCCTTTAAAGCAACAGACAGCAAATGAGCTGGCAGTACTAGGATAGCAATCCACAATCTGTTCTGTGGCTTTTTCTAGGTCTAGTTTTGTCAAACACAACAGCCTGACGCCATCCAGGTACTTGTCGTCATCTGAATCGGTCGAGAGTTCCTGGTCATCATCACCAGGCGATCCAAGCTGGTTGAGGACAAAGGCTGCCAGGTCGGTGGTGAGTCGGGATGAACAAAGAAGAGACTAGGGTGAAAGGTGCGAAAAAAATTACAGATAAATTAGTTATGGTACCTGAAAGGAGAGTAACACACGATGAAAATTAATGTGTGATATCTCTCAACCATAGTATCACTAACACATTGTGAGGGGGTGCCTCCAATAAACATCTTGCACCAAACAGGTCAAGCTTTGCGTTGTGGAATTTTTTTTTGCCTTAACAAAAAAAAAAATGAAACAGTTTCTCTTTTTCTAATGATGATGATGTTTTTATTATTGTGTATAAGATTGTGTTCTTTTAATTTTAATAGGCAAAATCTTTCATTGCTTTCAGTGTTGAAATCAGCATGGCACACCAAGACACATGCTACCTGTAGTCTTTCTAAGACCGTGAAGCACAACACGGAATCAACAATTTTATATAAGAATGTGATGTAGAATCTCAACAGTTTGGCATCACAATGTATCTTAAAAAAATAGTAGCCGATGTATAAAATAGAATTCACAAACGATCATGGTTTTTTTTGGCCGAAGGTTTCATTTCTACAAAAGTTTCAGGGCCCCTGGAATATGCAATCTGATATAACAACAATTTTAAAAAAAAACTTTACCTGAAGCTTTAGCAGACTTTCATTGCAAGCGCAACAGTGGCACCTCTCATTTGTGACTTGCTTTGTTGTCATAGCAATGGGCATAGAGTTTGTCCTCAATGTCTGACCAGGAATGTGTTTAATCTCGAGTCTCAAACACGGCTTTGCAATCTTTTCAGGATCATAAAATGGAGGGAGGTAATCTAGCCACGCGAATCTGGGTGAAAAGTGTCCATCTCCTTGAGGCTGGTAAAGCAAGAAAAGATAATTCAAAAAAAAATAAGGGTTAATTTTAAGAGTTCTGTTTTTAAAAAAAATTTTTAAAACTGAAACTGTGATTGCACTGAATTTAAACTTAAAAGTTAAAAAGAGCCACAGCTTAGATTTTGAGAAAGTGTACCACCAGCAATCACTTTAAAGCCAAAAATGCTAGGCAGAAAATAGTCTGCAGGCTTAAAGTGAATAATTTTCAAACTCAACAATATTTCTAAAAATGGAGCCTTCATCTACAAACATTGATGTTTTGGCACCAACAGCAGTCAAAAATACAAACTGTTGGATAAAGGGTCAAGCAGAGTCAAGGTCGTCAGCCAGCTGTCATTGAGCTGGGGTTCGTTGACAGCTCCCAGTGAAACCTAAACCAGTTGCTCACTAGCCTCACTTCGCACACTCAGTCATCACAGCTGCAACAACGGTACCAAAGTTCAAAGATCCTGAACAACTTACCAGGAAAAACTTTTGATGGCTAGCGGCTGTGACCTGCCTTGGTGCAGGCTGATCTTTGTTTTTGAGTCTTGCCAGGTAAACATTGCAGAGGAGATGCTGGAAAAAAAAATTAATGTTAAATGTTTTAAAATATTTAGACTCTATGAACCTGCAGATCTACCACAGGGGCCATGAACCTGGTGCGGAATGAATAAATAATTGAATCATACTATTTGTATTTATCTAATTTCTATAAATAGAAAGTATTTGAAGTAAACTATTATTCCAGGTGTCATGTGCGCTCACAATCATACACACCCCCCTCCCCCCCTCTCTCTTTCCATGCAGCTTCTAAATTATTGTGTTGGCAGAGAAAAATGTATAAAATGCTTTCTTACCACTGTTCAAGCTTAATACACGGATTTTATTATATCCATCATGGAATATTCACATAACTTTTGTTAACTGTGCAGAACCACTTTTGTTCGTATTTGCAATAGAAAAAAAAAAGTGTTTTTTTTTCTTCCATAAATAGCGTTAAATAATTCATTTCTCTCTGCATTTCATCATACAAAATATTTAATTTAAACAAAGATACGAAAGATATTATAAGTTGAAGATCGTTCTTAAGAAACATCAACTTTGAAACGTGAATTTCTTAAATTAATTACTCCTATTGTCTGACCAGCAACCAACTCAGAACAACTACTAATTGTAAGGAATCAGTACTTGAAAGAAATGCCTTAACTTACAACAGCCTCTTCAAACAAAAAAATCCTCCTGGAATCTGAAATGAAAAAAAGTCAAATTTCCTGTAAAGCCAAAGCTTAATATTTTCAATGGTCTTGAAAATCTAGAAACTAGGTATGATTTATAAAGTAATCAATTGAGAGAGCAGCGATTTTTTTCCCCAAACAAGTGCTTCTTAATAAGCCTAATTGGGTGAAAAACTTGCAGTTAACTGTAAGCAATCACTCACTTCTAAAAATATAATTCATAATAAACACAAGAATTTCAAATCGCCCGGTAGTATAAAGTACAACATAATAAAAGAGGGAAATATATCTGTACAATAAGTTCAAATATAATACTTGCTCACCTGTCAGTATCAACTCCAGAACCTCCCGTGTGTGATTGTTGTAGGGATGGTCAGACTGGCTCTGAAATATAAAAGATGATAGATAAGGGATGGTGCTCAAACCCATGAGCTGAAATGTCAAAAGGTCAGTTTTAAAAGTATAACTTTCTTTAATTAAAGAAAATTAAATGTGAAGTAGGTGCTTTACTATGGTGCCAATGAATTAAAGAAAATTAAATGTGAAGTAGGTGGTTTACTAATGGTGACAATGAATTAAAGAAAATTAAATGTGAAGAAGTGGTTTACTAATGGTGACAATGAATTAAAGAAAATTAAATGTGGAGTAGGTGCTTTACTAATGGTGCCAATGAATTAAAGAAAGTTAAATGTGAAGTAGGTGCTTTACTAATGGTGCCAATTAATTTGCAAAATCTGATCAATAAATAAGAAGCTATAAAATGTCAATGTCAGTAAATATGTTGTTGGAGCTTTTATTTGTAGCGCTGATAAAATTTTGTCATGACAATGTGCGCGCAAATAAATTATTCGTTTTAATGAATAATCCAAAAATATTTAATATAAATCAATTCTGATTATTTTTTCAAGGCATTGTCGAGGAGAATTAACAGAAAGACAATTACATTTGTCAAAAAAATTGTCGAAGTGAATTTCCATGATCAGGAAGATGTTTAAATTATGGCGTGAGATCATTACTTACATTGAGGAGAATGAGCAGAGAGTCCAAGGACATGACACATCTATCCAGCATCTCAACAAGGATCTCCAGCAGCGTGTGGGACATGTGCTGCCTCATCATCTGCGCCAGCGAGGTAAACGTGCTCAGGTTTTCACGTATCAGTGACGGATGGGATGAGCAAATGTCCACCAGGCTTGGTTTGTGTATGGACGTCAGCAGGGAGCAGGCATGGTCCACCTCACAGGACGACAGATGCAGCTGGACCATGGCCAGCTTGTCAGTGGCACTGTCGAAATATTCAAAATAAACCAGTGTCTACTTTTAAAGCTGTCTTTATTTTTTATGAAAATTCTCATAGGTTCAATCAATAGATCCTTGCCTAAAAATCATTATATGTCAGCCTATTTAAAGCTTTCTCCTCATTCATTCTATTTTTGGGTACTCCCAGATCTCCTCAACAATAATTTTACAAGAGATTCATACAAGGTGAGACAGAAACATTAAGTTTTTTTATGTCTCATTAGGGAAGTCATGACCAATACTTCAAAATTTCATCAGTGTCCTCTGTATTGACAATAAAACTATTAAAAAAAACTGTCCACTGGAGCTATTTCATATATACCGATCTTTTTAATTGCTGATATGTCTAAAAACAAAAACCCAAACAACTTGAGGCACATACAAACACTTGAATGTCTGATACATAACAATTGTACATGTTTACCTGATAGGCTGTGAGGCACTGGCCTTAACAGAGAGCCAGGTCTTCAGGTGATGATAGGCTGCTTCTGGATAACACAGAAAACATTGAGTTTAAAATGAATAGCCCCAATGTAAGTGCTGATTTGTTGCATTGTTTAGTTGTCTATGTCAATTTGGACACACAAAATGACTCATATTTGACCTGTGAACTTTATAAATTTTTTATGTATTTTATTGATTTGTAAAAAAAACAAAACAAAAAAATTCCACAAAACTTTTGACTGGTCCCTTGCAAAGATTTCTATTTTAAGCTCTTTAGTAATAAGCCCACCTATGTTCACAGACATAGCCAAAATGAAACTCCCAGAATAGTAATTAACCATAAAAAAAATAAAATGAAGCATCATGAAAGTGAATATATAAACATACTCGGTACAGTAAAATTTTTACAATAACTATTCACATCGCAAGTCTAAGAAACATCACTTCCAAAAGTAGATGACTGATGTTTATATATCCATAGACAGTGCTTTATAGCAAATAAAAAGGCACCCGTCACTGCCATTTCGAAAGACAAAGCTGGGAGTGGGGGAGATGTAATTGAGGATGACCGCTGAAGTCCTCTGAGTGAAAGTGTTGGTAAGGTTCGGAGAGCACGCTTCCCAGACAATTTTTTTATAAATTTAAATTGCAGGGAAGCACTTCGGCATATACCTTAATATAGTTTTGCATCATTCAGAGATCACCTGAAGAAATGCTTGGGCTCAATTAGGTTCACTTTATCTAGTTGTGTTTATATAAATCCTTTAATTTTAGTAGTTAACAAATAGTAATCTCTTATATACCTGTACAGCGGCTTAGTGAATTCTAAAAATAGATTTCAAATGCAAACAAGACCCTAGGGTTCTTAAGGCGAAATCTAAAGATTGGCAACTCCTGTGTGAAAGAAAGAGCATATAAAGCCTTTATCCGTCCGATTTTAGATTATGCATCTTCAGTCTGGGACCAGAAGAGCATTGACAGGTTGGAGGCGGTCCAGCGACGAGCAGCACGCTTTGTCCTAAACCGCTACAGGAATACCTCTAGTGTTGGCAGCATGCTAGAAACACTAGGCTGGTCACCATTGGAGAAACGACGACGACAATCCAGGCTCTCCATGATGTACAAGATAAATAATGGGCTGGTGCACTGTTCCAGTATTAAACAGAAACTCGTCCCTCTCCCCCATAGACAGCGACGAGGCCATGACAGGCAATTCAGGCTCATACCAGCAAGAAGCCAATAAAGGAGCTGCTCATTCCTGCCCAAGACAATCAGGGACTGGAACAATCTTTCAAAAGGAACGGTTGAGGTGACAACACTAGACACATTTGCGTCTATTGCCTCAAGCCTTCAAACCCCTAGTGCATGATTTCCTCATCAACACCAGGCACAGAAACATCGCAAATCCCATCTACATCCATAGGAGCCAAAATGATCAATAAATTGATCGTGGGCCCTTAAGATATAGAAGAAGAAGAAGAAATGCTGCTTACTAGATCTAATAAAATATGTCAAAATCTAATGCTACTGTGTGGAGCAGTTGATAATGCATTTTTTTTTAAAAAATCAGTTTTTCTCCATTTTTGTAATATGCACAGTTCAGCCGACGAATGATATAATTATGACATAAAATTAATTCATACAGCACCGAAGCAAACAAAAGCGAATGTGGCCTAAATTTTTAACTAGGGTGACTATGCCAATATTACTGTTGCTGTATCTAGCGAACTCATAATGAAAAAACAAGGCAACAATATCACCATCATTATGAAACGAGGTGGTGTTATTTTATAGTTTTTAAAAAAAAATATTTAGACCTATTTCCCCATGCTCTCCCATGCATACATGTGCCATCCTAGGTCAACACATCCTTCCTTCCCCTCTCAGTGAGTCATCATCGTCATCATCATCAGTGGCGCTACAGCCCATCCAGGGCCCTGGCCTGTTCCCCCACATCCTTGAATTCGGTACGATCCATGGCCTTCCGCCTCCATGCGTGAACCCCCAACTGGTGTAAATCCCTCTCTACATTGTCAATCCATCTCAGCCTTGGGCGACCAGTGAGTCGTCTGCCCCTAGTTTTCTGCGTGTATATCACCTTTGCTGCTCTACATTCTGGCATCCTTTCAATATGTCCCGCCCAGCGCAGTCTGCCTTTTTTTTGTTGTGACTATGGGTGGATCTTTGTACAATTGGTATAGCTCTTGGTTTGTACGGATTCTCCAGATATCATTTTTCATCATTGGGCCGTATATTTTTCTGAGGATTTTTTCTCTCCCATGTATTGAGAAGGTTCTCTGCTTTTTTGGTAAGGGTCCAAGTCTCACTAGCGTTAAGTTACTACTGGTCTTACACTGCGAATGTTGTCTTTTTTGTTCCCCTTGAGAGGTTTTTGCTTCCCAGTAGTTTTTGTAGGTTGAAATAGGAACGGTTGCCTCCTTTCTTTAACCTCCGAAATTATTTCATTGTGCTCGTTTATAGTTGCCCCTAGATATTTGGTTGTTTATATTGATGCTGTCGTCACCGTGGGATTTTCCTGACAATATCATAAATCCTCCCAGTGAGTGCTTGATATAATTATGGGTGGTGCCCAACCAACCTTATTTTTTTTGTCCGTTTACAGCCAGACGTAGAAAGGAGCTAAAAACTGACAACCGTAAATGCAATTTTTTAATAGTAAAAACTTGGTCAAGTATACATTTTGAACCCAGTCTCTTAAAATCGTAGTTCTGACAGGTGTACAATTGTAAAAGACAACTCAAAATCTTACACTGAGCGCCAAAAATCATAAAAGTAACAAGCCCTGTACTCATACTTACCAGTGGAATAAGCCCTCATGTTGGACAGCAGGATCACCTTAGACAGCTTATCTGGAGAAGCTACGGCATAAATATTTAGGATCGTGTCGCAGGTTGAGCTATTTAGACTGACAAACTCCTCTTGTGAGAACAGGATACCATCCAGATAATCAATCAGCCCTTTGCCAAACTCTCTAACTCCCTGCTGGAAAAATGTTAGTGCTACTGTTATCAGGTGATGGGAGGAAAAAAAAAAAAAAAAAAACCTTTATTTTAAAAAAAAGGAAAAAATAAAATCTCTTTTTTTCTAAAAGAAAAAAAAAAAAAAAAAAAAAAAAGCATTTATTTTAAAAAAAGGGAAAAATTATATGCTCTTTTTTTCAAAATGAAAAAAATTAATTGACAAAGCTGTCAGCGATGATTTAGTAAAAGAGTGTTTTAAGTAAGTATTAATTACCAACCTTCTCGGCCTGACCCACAGCTTCTGTAACAACATCCTCGACAGTAACCCTGGAACTCTTGTAGAAGGGTGAACACAAACACCAATCTTCTTGCCCAGGTCTGAAATTAGTCCACAGATTTTGTTTAGCGACAATGAGAGAAAAAAATTGAGAGAGTTGGCTAACATTTGCGTTATTGAATCTTTTTTTTGTGTTCATTGTCCTTTACATAAAGCTTCCAACAATGAATTCCTGCAGCCACCGCAATCTTTTTCTGAATTCTGATCTCCAAAAAGAATTTGAAACTTTTAGTTTATTAATTCTGTTTCTCAACCAATTTAAAGTCTCGACCCTATTGTACAAACAATATTTCACTGCAAGAGAGAAATTAAAAAAAAAACAATTGAAATGCAAGGTAAGATAGTGTGCCTGTGAAGATGACAAGGGTTGAGAAACATTTTATAACTATTAAAGAGTTGAAATAAGTTTATATACTGTGCATAGAAATCTCCCAGCATTCGACTAACTTCACGCAGGCACTGTTTAACATCCTCGTCCTTGGTAGCTGTATACAAGGGATGAGTGCTCAGTAGCAAGTGAGCCTCCTGCAACAAATGGATGTAAGATGCTGGACCAGTTGTGTGTATCCCTTGAGCAAAACTAATCTGAAATAAAGGAATAGTAAGATGTTAATTATAATTACATGTTTAATGTTTTAAGACACATTAAATTGAATGTGTAGGCCACATTTTTAACAAAATAAAATTTTAAAATACTGGTTAAATATTTATATTGATTCTATAAATTTTGCTAAAATTTATTTCCTTTAGTGTGGTAGAGAAGCCAAATAGCCCCTCTTTTCTGGACATTCCAATAGAGACACTAAAATTTACTCTAGATTCAACTTTCACAATAATAATCCCACAGCAAGAAGAAAAATCAATGATATATAGTTCATTAAATTATTTTTTTTCTATGCTTACAAACAAAAGATGACCAGGAAATATTTAACATTATTTTAAACAAACTTCAGTTTTGGCAAGCGAGTCTATTTTGAGCTGAGGGTCTGTAGTGCAGAGTTCACGTCAGTGCATATTTGACATAACATTGACATAAGAGAGTGGATACTTTACATAAAGCTGTCAGAAGAGGAGACAACCACCCACCATTTCCCTGTAAGTGTCAAGCAGACTAAGCATGTTCAGAATGTACAGGCCCCAGTGAGCTTCTTCCTTTCTGAAATTTCATAAAGTATTTAAAAAAAAAAATATTCTATGGTGTCCAAAACAGCATAATTTATAAAATTATTTACCACCTATTTATTATTAAGATCATCAATTTAAAAAAAATTGCAAAAATGTAAGTGTGAAGTTCCCAATATGAATTGGTATAACTTTAAGTTATAATATAAATTGAAAAAAAAATAATTAAAAAATTTTGAAGAATGTGTTATTTAAAAAAAAAAACTTTTCATTATTAAAGTTTGATTTTTTTTTTTTATTAATCAGCAATACAGCGTTTTAAAAAGCAATATATTGTGCATTAAAATAGATACACACCCCCTCCAACGTACCCTTTTGGATCTTGAACTTTAGACAAAAGTGCCAAAAAATCTCCCCCAACAGATAAATTGACAGCACTAAAGAATGGCTCATGGCCACAAAGACAGATGTCCAGGGTTGAGGAGGGATATATCTGTTGAAAACAAAAAAAATGATTCTTTACAGTTTGTGAATAAACAAATGAGATGCCCCACTAAGTAAAAAGGGGGAAAACAGTCTACAAAACAAACTCAAGACTTTATAAAACACTTAAGGTAGTTCATGTTTTATAAATCTTCCATTTTCTTTCAGTTGTATGTGAATGAACGTAATAAAACGAGAAACTTCAGTGAGGCTATGGTCACCTTTTGTGGGTTTGAAACAGAACCGGTTACTTGTAACCAAGACCGGTTTTTTTGTAGCTAAGATGCTGGGCCAATAATGTGTATGCCAGGAACCTGGTCTTTTCTAAATAAATTAAGATAGAGAGAGATAATGTATATGAAAATAATAGAGATATTGAGATTATGTATTTAACTTTTTTTTTAAAGCATATACATTTCAAACCTTAATTTTGATCTCTTGTGGCCTATTCCATTGTGTGTGCCCCCCCCCCCCCCCCCCCCTTTCTGTACCCTGGTTTTTCCCTGGATCCCTCCTTCCACCCACTCCCTTTTGAGGGCCTTGTTTAAAGAGTCACTAGTTGTAAAACAGCTCATTTTCTGCTTTAAAAGTGACTATCATATGCTCAACGAATTCTTTTACAGAAGAGAAAAAAAATATCTTAGCTTCATTACCTGTTCAGAGCAATCTTGGTCATCCTCCTTGTCTCCCATCTCAATTGACACAATGCCCCAACGTGATGTGTATGTTTCTATCCCTGTTGTGGTCACAACATGCAAGTGGCTCTGACTCAGTCCAACCTAGTTCAATTTGGACCAAAAGGAAAGGAAATTAAAAAAATTATGTCATTGGGCCCTTTACTATGAGACAGTTAAATTCCGATACTTCACTTTCATGTCTCAGGGAATTAATTATGCGCCAGTTTCATTCTCACAGTTGTCTTTGACTTGTCAAAAATATCTTACAGATGTCATTCTTCAAACATTATGTTGACATTATTATTATTTTCCATTTAGCCATATATTAACAGCCGCACACCACAGTAGTAAAATGTAAAAAATATTTTTTTTTTACAATGTTCAAGTCTGCTTAAAACAAATCAACAAAATAAAGTGACTACCGTTTTCATGGTTGTCTCTAATTTTGTGTGTGGTTATAATTGAAAATAATACCAGATGATTGTTATGAACTGGTTTGTGAGCATGGTTGGATTGTCATTATAAAGCAAAGAGTGGAAATAATATTTGGTCAGTTGACAATAACATGGAACAAAGAAGTTCTTAAATCCAGGCATACTTTAAAATGATATAAAAGGCTTTGACTGATGATCAGTTCGATGTGAAGCTCCATGTTATAAAGTATCTGTTGAAATCACAGCAGCTTTGACTTATGGAAATATTCTTTAGTCCAAGAAAATGAGCGGAAAAATCTACCTGAAAGGCTAGGTCTGTGTACTTGTAGGAAGAAATCTGAGTCAGGAGTGGGGAGATCTGATACAGATAGCCTCCCCTGTTCCCACTGATGTAGCAGCACATGCTTGTCCTATTAGTGTTTACTGTTGACCTCATTCTGTCTGTATTGATGCTGGAAACTCGTAGAGGTGTTGAAAGCCCTAGGAGGTAAACAATTTTTTTGTCATGTCTTAGTTATAAAAAAAAAACAGAACAACTCAAAAGCTATCCTTATATTTTAAAAAATTAATGCTGAAGAAAATGTACGATTATTTTATCTATCATTTGCTAGTGTCTGCTTCACATACTTAAGATGAATAAAAATTTGTAGATAAAATATATTTAAGAAAATTCATAAATTATCATTCAAAGATTGCGAGCAGAAACTCCTACTTTGTCAACAGCTTGCTACTTTTTCAGGGTTGAAACTTATAATACATTTTCTTAAGTGAAGGGAGGAAAGATTATATGTTAATCAAAGATAGTCAAAATGTTATGAGTAAGATAATGGACCAAACTTGCTAAAGTTTTCACAATGTTTAAGATTTGTTTCTTCATACCGATTCAAAAATATACTCTTTGAAGCAATATTATTTTCAATATAATGCTTCCCTCCTTAGATGTAGCAGCAACAGTTCCTTCATTGAATAATAGTGTATAATTTGCTTGTAGCAATGTTTAAACTATGAAAGCTTAAGCCAGTGTTTACCTCCATGGAAGGTGGGCACTAGGACAACACTCATCCAGTCTTCTTTCTCCCTGCTGTCACACAAATGTAAGACAGTCTCAGCCTGAACTCCTGAGCTGGACTTGACTTTGCCACCTAAAACAAAAGAAGACACAATGACGATATCAGTGAAAATGGACACATTCGGATATCAGTGAACATGGACATACTCAGATATCAGTGCACATGGACACATTCGGATATCAGTGCACATGGACACACTCAGATATCAGTGCACATGGACACACTCAGATATCAGTGAACATGGACACACTCAGATATCAGTGAACATGGAGTGGCTCATATATCAGTGTCATGGACACACTCATGTATCAGTGAACATGCACACATGCAAAGAAACTGACTTGGATACACTTGTAAATGTTAGGAAACTGGGGGAGAGATAAAAACAGACGGATATTATGAGTGAGAGTGGCAGAGAGAGAGAGGAGAGAGTCACAGAGAGAGTGAGAGAGAGTTCGAGAAAGAGAGGGGGAAGATAGGGAGAGAGAAGAGATAGAGAGCAAATTGATAGAAATTTTTGTGTGGACTCTCACAAGGTTTAAGGCTTGATTTCAGATTGACATGAACAATCAATGAATTAGTTGTGTTCAAAGTCTCAAATACAAGTAAGCAACCAGTGATCACCTAAGAAGTCAGACAAAACCGGCGGGCTGATCGTCTGGGCGTGATGATGGCACTGGGACTGGCTAATGCTGGTGTGCAGACCTGGCAGGCAGACGGCCGCACTTCCTGCGGCACCGCCGCCGGGCTGAAAATTCCACTCGACAAAGTCTTCATCATCGATGATCTTGGAGTCTGTACTCTCAACAAGGGATTGGCCGACAGCCTTAGGGCTAAGACGCCCACCTGGCCTCATGCCCACTGAAATAAATGTTTGGTATTTGCATGAAACATCTTCTTTTATAAATATAGATTTACATTTCTTAAATTGGGTATCGAAATTCTTTTGTTGTAAGACTGCTTCTTTTTAATGATTGACATAAATGGTTAATTGTAATTACTTAACCTCAGAAACTGTCAGTAACTCTAATATGTTCATAACAAAAAATATGACTGGCATATGTAAAATCTAAGTAATGGTGTCTGCTGAAGGAATAAATATAAAATAACTTTTTTTGGTAATTCTAACTCATGACTTAGAGAAAATAATTTTTAAAAAAGATTCCCAGTCATAATTTTAAGCTATAAAAATCAACTTAAAAAAGCAACAAATGAAAACTGATATATACCTGTAGAGAAATCTTTCCCAAGAGTACGAGAATCACTCTGGTTTGTAAGTAAGCATCCCACCCCTGAGTTCTCTAAATCACTCTGCGGGGAAAAGGAAACTATCCTCTCAGCCCTTCGTTGGTCATTGAACAAATATGTCTCGCTGACATAGGATTGCGGAGTGGCGGCCCCTGATGATCGCCTGCTGGAATCATGCTCTACAGTAGATGCAGATATACTTTTGCCACCGGAACCAATGGAGGTGGTAGGGGAAGTTAGAAATTTTCTGTGCGCCCTGACACTGCTTTTCTCCCCTTCATCATATCTGATATATTGAGAGAATTTTGGAGCATTAGCTAGACAGAAAAAAAAAAAATTCCTAATGCAAGATACAAAAACTAAATAATGGTTGGCTGAATGGCGCTGTCAGTAAAACACAGGACAATTGGTCATGATGGTCTGGGGTTTAAATCCCCCAAAACAAATTTGTTTTACACACCAGAACTCAATATGGAAGCTAAACAAGGCCAAAAAAAAAGTATGATAATACGTGATGAGATGGGCCATATGGCTCAAAACATGGCTCAAGATCTTATTACTACAAGATCTCAGCCCTAAACAGCATTTTAAATTGTGACCTAATTTTACATTCAAATATCGTTAAGGGGTAGATAAATCTTAATGAGACAATTAAATAATAAATAGGCATAACACAATGGCATGGCTCGTGTTAAGTGTCTCCTAGGGCAAGCTAAGCTTTCTGCTACAAGACAACCCCCCCCCCCACCCACCCACTTTTCTATGAAAATACTGCAGTTGGCTGAAAATGCTAAACCTGAACATAAGGTTAAAAAAGTACAGATGGGATGGACCCTCCCCCTCCACACATCCCTTACTATGCCACTGTATTAAAACATAGCATTCCTAAAACTATGCTTCAGTTGAGTCATCTAATTAAAAGAAAAACTATACTTATACTATACCTGACCCTAATCCCTTGGACCTCTTTATATGAGCAGCAGACAATGAATTCCTCACACATTGCAATTGATTTGACAGGGAAATTCCAGCAAAGTTCCAAAAAGATCTATTAATTTAAAAAAAAGCAGGATGAAGGTATCTTGACTTTTGTTTATCAGACCAAGTCATACTCTCCAAAATATTAGTAGAACGTTCAATGACATTATGTAATTAAATAAATGAATGGAATTCACAAAGAACAACCTTCATGACCCTTTGATTTCAAAAAATAATTTCATAATTTACAAATTTTATTAATATTTTGTATTCAGTTACTAACTGATTTTTAACTAAAAACTTATTGCAGAATTTTCAGAGTCCAAGTGAAAAGATGATCAAGTACATCAGACATGTTTTCATCAAAATACATAATTATATAATGTAACAACTAATGTTACTAACACTACCAGATGTTTAACAGCACCAAAATAAATTCCTGATAACTGCGCTAAATGAGGTTCTTAAAAATACTGGAAGTGGATTTGGTGCCTAATAGTTGGTGTGATTTAAGGGTAAAAATGTTTGGGAATAGAATATTAATATAGTTCAGGGGTGATGGCCTTTGGGGGATGGGAGGATTGTAGCACTAACTGGGAATATTATAAAATGGTTTACTTGAATGTATGTTTTCTCAAGTAAATTTAGTAGATGGGAAGTTCACACATAGAGGCTGCCATTTTTAGCAGGTTATAGCTAGTAAAAAGATAGTTTTTAAAGTAATATTGGATTTTCCTGATTTTAAACAGCTTTTATAATTTTTGAGCTTTTTAATCCCACAATAGACTGAGGTGGAGTTCATATAATCCAGTGCTCTTGGCAGTGGCATTATAATTTCCTGTAAAAAAAAAGAAATGTTTGTCTGGTCAGGGATATGAAACTAGGACTCCACCACACAACTGTTCAGCTTATAGTTACCTCTACATCAAGGTAGGTTTTATCTGAGTTTGCAACAGTTTTTTCCACAACACTGCACAGCTTCACTTCTGTGTTACAGGCAATAGCAAAATTTCCCGTGTACCTGAGAGATTCATGTACGACAGAGTCAGTCATTATAGCGAAAAGGTTAAAGGAAGTCATTGTACACTTTTAAAAAGAGAAACTGACCAGGCTTAAATAACTCCGAAGATGCAAAGTAACAAAATTCTTCCAGGAGTTGGTTATTTTCAAAAGTGATACTTGAAATACAATATAATGTGAAAACAAAAAGGGTTTAAAAGAAACAAATTATATTCTACATGGTGATATTACATGGCTTTGGCTCCCCTACACTTTGGGTTAAAATATTTACAAAATCTACAATAAGTATCAAACAGGGGTCCAAGTGCAAAATATAATGCTTTTAGTTCCACTAGTGTGGGTTTTCAAAAGAAACACACAAACATTTACACTATATAGGTACTGTGAAAAAAAATGAAATTTAAAATGTACACATAAAAAGTACTTCATCATACTTGCAAACAGCTGCACAAGTGGCATTCTTATCCATGGGCACCTCAATGATTTCCATTACTTCTGTTGTAAAAGGACTAGAGGCATGTTGAACATGAGACTTTCCTGCAACACTGACCTTAGTTCTAGGCTTTCCACCATTTTTTATGTTGATTTGCCAGTTTAAATAAACATGAACAGATTTTGTCTCTCGTTTCCATGACTTTTTCAGCTCAACAGTCACTATGTAGCTTTCTATAGAATGATAGAGAAGCTTCAATCATTTTTTTTTTAATTACCCGAAAATCATGTGAAAAATGCTACATATTATTTGACATATTAAAGAAATGAAAATAAAAAAAAATCCCTTTCAAATATTTAATTTAAGAAATAGTTTATTCTTAAAAATCATTAAAAAGCAAAAAACTTAAATCAATATTAACTTCCTACATTCATGAAATCAACCATGAAATAACTATTTGAAAAATGAACTTTAAAAGAAAACAACTCACTAAAACTATTATAAACAATTAAATCAACTTGAGATATGGTAGGACATCTGTGGATTTCTTTGAATGATCCATCTTTAATTTGAAATACTATAATCTCACAATCACTTGTTGCAACAAATACTTTATCACCATCTGCACATATTGTAAGAGGCTCTTTACTGAGGGGGATCACTCGCTGTGAAGCGAAACGATGACATTTGAAAACACGGACCATTGTGAATCTTGTTTACTTCTTAGTTTCCTGAAAAATGGAAAGGTAAGCAATGGAAATTTGAAATCACTAAGCCGCTACTCATGGGTTATTATGTCCCAAACAATTAATATGGTATGGTCTTAAAATACAGTAATGAAACTCGCATATCTCAAACACAGATAAACGTTACTTGACAGGGCATAAGACCAGCTGCAAAGTTTTCCCAGTAGTGAAAAGAAAGTTGTGCCAAACAGCTGTTGGAAATGGGTTTCTCAGTAGATGAAACAATATTCATAGTTCCTGCTCATATGGAAGTGGTTTTGAATGGGAAATGTATTTGCAAAAAAAAAAAAATCCTGAGAGTCCACTGAGAGAGATTTAATAACACTTTTTAGGTGATATCAAGCGATTGTAAACACAAGGAAACAGAATGATGATCAATAAGAAACAATGCAGTGATTTTTAAAAATACTTTTAACAATAATTAAATATAACTGATTTCACAGATTTCTATGTTACAGTTGACTTTATAAGAAGTATTATAGAATTTCAGAAATTCAGGATAATTATTAAATGTACCGGGATGTTTTTTTCTGCCCTAACGTCTTCCCCTCTTCCAACCGCCATACGCAGCAGTATGCAAAAAATCCAAAATAAAAAACCATTCCCATATCTGAGGCCCCCTGCAGCTACAGGTGTTGCAGGGCCCAAGTGATGGCTCTGCCCTTAACTCACCTCTAGCACAGATTGATTTCTTAACAAAAAACCCTTTAAATAGCACAAATCCAGTCCCATGAGCACTGTGCAAAGGGTTTCTCTGAGACAGCATTGTGTTCTACCCTGCAAATAGCATGTCATGAACAGGGTTAACGCAGAGCTATTGATTAGCTATACAGTCTGCTACTGCGCTGTGTGTTTCTAAAATCATGATGTTTTCAAAAGATTTGCTAAGAAACTAAGGGTTGTGAATGGTTTGTGGATATTGGTGTGTAAATTTGGCCAACGCATGAAGAAAGCAAGATGGTTGAAATGAAGATCATGCACATAATATTCATATACCGGTACTTTGCTTAGATGTTCATAACTGATTCATGGAAAGCTGTAGGATACATCATAGCCACCTTTACTTATAACAGTAAAATGTAAATCAATTGCATGAAGAATGTTTCAATACATTAAAATCTGACTTCAAACCTTTCCTGTCATTATGATACGTTACATACATAAATGTTTGCACTTTGTTTTTTTTTCATTTCTTTTTATTTTCAATGCAAATATGTCTTCTTCTTTCAGATTATTGAGCATGATCATCATACTGGCTGAACCTGTGAATAGCACTATCAATGAAAATAAAACCACCCACTTTGCTTTGTTGCCAAGAGTTTGTGCTATCATTGGTTTTACTGTAAAGCACTTTTAGGAGTCACAGGTATGACTTATCTTAATGCACTTTGAAGGCTTGTGATTATGAGTTCTAAGTTTCGAACATCTTGTTCAAGTTTAAACACTTAATAATCGGAATATAAAGTATATCCATCATTTAAATTTTTTAAATTGCTACAAAATATAAAAAAATATATATAATTCTACTGTTAGAAATGAACATAATAATTAAATTATAAAATATATTTTTAATTAAGATGAAAATAATATAGGTTTGAGTTAAGGCCTAGTAAAACTGGATCAGGGTTTAGGAATTAATCACAAAATATGATATCGACATAGCGTTCACTCTACAAGACCATCAAAATCAATGCTAACACTAACAGCCCTATCTTAAGACTAGGCCAACGGTAAATTTATGCAGCGATGTTCGCATGCCTAAGTCCATGGTTTTGTTAGGAACATCATCGGGTGTAAGCAGTCACTTTGGATTAAATAACTCAAATAACAGCACTCCTCAGAACGGAGGTTCCAAATTAAAAATAGAGTAGTTTTCGTTAGACAGACAATTTTAATTTAATAGAGAAAACATGATTGTTGACGTCAACTAATCTAACACCCCTCCCTCCGCCTTGTAAAAAAACTGTCAAACATTTCCAAACCCCCTCCCCCCTATTTTGTTGACATAATTAATAGAAGGCCCCTATTATTATTTATTTATTATTTTATATTATATATATAATATATATATATACTACTAACTACTTATGGCATTGAAAGTCATAAGACTTAATGGTTAATAAATAAGAGTCAAAATTTTGTTTGGTGGGGGAATATATCATAATATATGTATTAGAAGTTGGTCTTAGTTGCAAAACTAAGTCCAAAGGGTAGGGTAGTGTAAAAGGCTTAGTACTTTGGATAGTTACTAGGGTAGGGTAGATAGTAGATCTAAGAACGGGCTACCGCTAAACAGCTAAAGTTAAAGCCAAGGCAGGCTGAAGGCAGGGAAGGGCGGGAGGCTAGGGACCAGGGAAATGATCATAATCATAGTCTAATCATTGTCAACGCCAGTGGCCAACAATAAATGTTGTATGAAAGTAAATTTATTCCTTTAAATGAAATACTGCATGTTAAGTTTTCCATATTAAAATCTTAAGGTGCCAGTGTTGCTAACTTATGATAGCTGTAAAATTAGTTCAAGACAAGAGTTGGTTATTTTACGTTTTTGTGTTACGCCATATTGTTTTTCTTTTGCAATTGTCACGTGATAAATTATAAATAGATTGCTTCATTAGGAGCGGGCTGAAAGAAATTACGATTTATGATTGGCTTGCATCAATATGTTTATGAATGCGCCTATTTTGAAAGTTGTGGAAGCGATTTCGATAAATAAAATTTGTCAGGAAAAAATTGCAATACGTTTAAAGTTTAAAGGTATGGATAAATAATATTATAGTACGCTAGTATTGGTTTACAGAAAGAAATGCAGTTTGAAGGCGATGCCAAGTTCTTAACTCTTTCCTTACCTTAGCCTTAGTCAGTCCTTAGTGGTCTCCTTATTATTCTATTATTGACGTCTGCTTTCTTACGTCTTCTTGTCATGGAAATATTTACTTTTCAATCAAAGTTTGTCAATAATAAAAATATGAATATTACATGAATATGATATAACGGGAGACGACAAAGCGTTACCGTTACTGTTAGTAAATTGTTAGGTCCTTTTGAAATGTTTCACTCCCAGTCTATGTATCACAATGTGTGAAACTAAATAAGTGTTGAGCAATAATTGCCATAAGTTATAAGTATAAGCCATAATCATAAGCTCTCTCTGTCTCCTGGCAGCTACTCGCATTTGAGTCACATGTAATAGTAATAATTATGTAATTTAACAAGTGTGGTTTGCTGCATCAAATCAATGATCGGTATTGAACATTTTAAGTTAAATAAAAAAGCCATAGAAGCACCATTGTCATTTTTGTTGTTGCTGGCATCCGTCTGAGTCAGGATGTGACGATGGTGAAGACTTCACTGGACGAAATCCACAAGGCCTGGGATTATTCTTCAAGGACCTGTTTACTCGTGCGATTTTGGCGTACAATGTACGATTTTGAGGTGTAAACTGTATGTTTATTTTTTTAAACTATAAATTTAATGTATTGAACGATTTTGTGATGATATTGTACGATTTTAAGAGTTTGAGGGTAAACAGGTTCGGCGTAATCCGCCTACAGGTTTGAATTCAGAGTTTTTTTCTCTTAGATGAGTTGCCATTCAAGGTTAATGAGTCCCATCCATGCGGGGTGCTGGTGATGTTGACTGGGCTTCGGCTGGAATTGAGCTCCAGAGCACCAACTTGGGATTTGCTCAGTTTAGACCACTCTGTCACCCAGCACCCAACCATTGAGTCCATTGCCATTACATTAAATTAAAAGCCAGTAGCGACTCTAGTCTAGGAGGCGGACGTTGTTGTGAGGGATGTGAGCGTGGACTGCTCAGGACACTCACAGGGGGGGGGGGGGATGTGACACCAAATAGAAAATTTAAAATTAGGTAGAGCTTGCTTGAGTCGGTATCAATGGCAAATCTTAGTGAAATACAAGAGCAATGGTTCAGGGTGTTACCATCAAGAAAAGACGTTGTTGTGAGGGATGTGAGCGTGGACTGCTCAGGACACTCACAGGGGGGGGGGGGATGTGACACCAAATAGAAAATTTAAAATTAGGTAGAGCTTGCTTGAGTCGGTATCAATGGCAAATCTTAGTGAAATACAAGAGCAATGGTTCAGGGTGTTACCATCAAGAACAGGGTGCTGTCAGAATCAGAGCATGTTGCCACCAGAAGAGGCAGACGCTGAAGGGTCCATGGGCCACAGGGAATTCTGGAGGGAGGGAGGGCACCATGAGGTTACAGCACGTGGTGACACCAACCTTAGTGATCAATGCATTCTGTAACTTTAGGTGACTTACAGTTTTTTAATGAGAATAATGAATTGAATATGCTAGGGCAAGATTCTTGGTATTGAAACTAGTTTTAGTTCCTGCTTGGTTTCTAATATTTTAAAATTCTTTACAGATATTTCCATTTGTACAAAAACAGGACAGAAAGACAACAAAAATTATTGTATTGTTCTTTATTTTGAAAGTAAGTTGATAGATTTCGTCTGCTGCACCCTAAGATTTAATTCAGCCAAATAGCTCTTCAACTCTGGATTCAATTTTGTTAATAATCATCCTGATTTATTTTTCTTTTGTAGCGGATGTACAATGGAATTTGTAATACCAACCTCAAAAGATGAATTATTAAGCAGAAAAGATGTGAACAGTTATTGTGTTGAAGATTTGCTTACCATTCGACAAATCGCCCCAGCTTTGCAAGCCTTTAAATCTGCATGTCATGGAAATGCTGACTGTATTGTGAACAATTTTGATACATTGTTCAGCATTCTTTGGTAATAGGCTATAGCATTATATAATTTGTTGGAATATAACAAAATTTATCAGAAAACATTATTTTTAGACATCGAAATTGTATTTGATGTTCATTAAAAATTTTTCCCCAGTCTACACAAAGATCTTGACCCTATCACCAGAGAAGATGCTTGGACATATCTTCTACGGGGTAAATTTGAAATTAATGAAATTTGATAACAGATATATATATTTATTTTTTTATTGTGAATTTTGTGTTGTTTTAATTTTAAACGAAATTCACATTTGAAAATCAATTTTCTTTGTAAAGATTATTTAGTATATTTATTTTTATTGCTTTCAATTTTTCTATTGTTGATGCTTTGGTTTTTAATATCAGGTTGCAAGACGTTTTTCCGCAGTTTGTCATCGGTGCTTGATGAATCAGACTTGAGTCGAGATGATCGTGTGAAAAACTTAAATGCTACCAAAATGGCGTGTTATTTGTTGTGTCAGTTCATGGAATTGTTTGACTCTGAAGCGACTAGACCAGCTGCTGTTGTTGCTGGAAAAGTAATTTTGAATAAATTATTTGAAAAAGAAAGAACTTTTAATTTCATATGGACACAATCAGAAAAAAATGTTAATATTTGTTATAAAGGAACAAGATTGATTGTCTAATTAAAGCATTGTATATTTTTATCAGTAAAAACCCAGTTACCTTACATCTTCTTTCCTGACAAAAGCTCACTTATGCCTCGCATTATATTTTGTGTTACAGCACATTTTCCAATTTTAAAAATAATTTTGGTAATACTTCTGTTCAGGCGCTTTTGAATTCAAGATGAAATTTCAGGTTATGTTATATGATAAGTGAAACCTACTTGTAATTTTAAACAGTATAGTGTTAATTAAATTTCTTTAGTACCATATTTCAAAGCATATCTCATTAAGTTTATCCTTTTGTAATTTGAATTTAATGAGTGTGCAAATTTTCCAGGGGCGGGGCAAAAAAAAGCAACAAAGTTCAAGTTCGACAGATATGGATTGGGTGAAGGAAAAGAAGGATGGTATTCAAATGCTGCTAGAATTCATCCAGCTTTCCCTAAACAAATTGTGGGATCCCCCTGTTGCAGAAGAAGAGTTTGTTAGGTTAGTCTTCTATTCACTGAGAAATATTAGTATTGGAGAACTTTCGTTTTCCATAATTTTAAAAAGGATGCAACAAAATGATGAATGGACAGCAAGAAGCCTTCTTCGGCGAACAAACGGCAGTAAAACCAATATAAATCGATTACCTATATTAACTCTCTTACTTACCAATGGTCTCTTACAATCCTCTTGCTGTCCTCTTGGATGCTACATTTCAGCTAAGTGTTCATTTAAAATTTGTGTTATTCGTTGTTTGTTTGCTGAAGAAAACTTCTGGCCCACACATTCACAGACCTGTTTACAATTACGATTTTGGCGTACAATGTATGATTTTCAGATGCCTTTACAATTGTGTGCCAAGGCCTGTCAGGACTACGATTTTAAGAGACTTTGTTTAAAAATTATACATTCTGTTAGTTTTTGAGATTTAAGAAACAAACAAATTTACATTTTGGGTTGTAGTTTTAGCTCTTTTCTACATCCGACAGTAAATGGATCGAGAAATATGATTGGTTTGGGGCCATCTATAATTATATAACTTTTGCCCTGAGAGGGGAAGAGGGTGGTGTTGATTAAGGAGATGTTGTGTATGGGTGTGTGTGTGTGTGTGTGGGGGGGGGGGGGTTGATAGGTCTATAAAAAAAAAACCCCCACGTTTTTGTAAAAATAGGCTGAATGGAAATTGATTCTTTAAAAAAAAAAAAACCCCAGCTGTTTCTAAACAATAATTATCAAGTCACTTGGTAGATTTTGTAAATTACGTCCTCATTTGTTAATTAATTATCACAATACATTTTATTTCATGCTGAACTGACTTCGAGTTTGAACCACATAAAATTTTACCAGTAACACAGACCTGTTTACTCTTACGATTTTGGCGTTCAATGTACGATTTTGAGGTGTATACATTATATATACAGCACGTTTTTGCTCTATAAAGAGAATGTATTGAACGATTATATGATGATATTGTACGATTTTAAGGGTTTGAGGGTAAACAAGTCTGGTAACAGACTGATAATGTGCTCTGCACGTTCACCCAAACATTCATTGATATTTATCAACAGCAGATACATGTCTACAAAATAAAGTGACAGCAGATTGGAATATAAATGTCGGTAATCTACCTTTGGTAGTTACCATTTTTGTTTTATTTTGAGAAGATATTGTACGATTTTAGGAGTTTGAGGGTAACCCAGTCTGCGTTCATTGGTTTGTTGCTTCCTTTTTTCAGGTTTTCCTGTACCTTGTTTCATAAATTTCTTTCTACCATACCTTCTTTTAAAAATTTCCTTCTACCTAATCTGATTGCAGTCTCTCATCCTTTATTATCATGTTTCAGTTACAATCATTTCAATATTTACTTTACCAAATAAATAGAACATAAGTGAGCTAAAATTACTTAACATCTTTGACTTTGTTTTTAGTAACGATTATCTTTTTAAAAATTGAATATTTTAATACTTTCCTCAGCCTTGTTAGCACTTGCTGTTACAAGTTGCTGGAGAATCCAGCCACCAGCAAAGAGAAAGATGCACTAGTGGCAATAGCTCACATCATCGGGAACCTGGTTAAACGCTACAACCATGGGCTTAGTAAGAACAATTTATTTTGTTCCATTGATGAGCACAAACAATAATATATTATTTATATACAATATCATACGCTGCCCCCACCCCCTTAAAAATTCTTTACCAAACTCAAAGCATTTGTTTCATTAACATTATATTTTATCTCTTGATATTAATTTGCTTTGATTTATCCTTGTAGGTGCAAGTTTAAAGATTGACCAGTTACTGAAGCATTTTGAGTTTCTAACCTCCCCTTTAGCCCAGATAGTGGAAATAATAGTTAAAGATCATGGCTGCAAATCAATTGTCACTGAAATTATTCGGTAAATATACTTGCCTTAGTTAACATGACAAATACAAGTTGCATTTGTAACTGACATAACTTTCAGAAAAATGCTTTCAATTTTCATCCATTATATATGAAAAATGCCTTTTAAGTGTACTTAATTTACTTATACATGGTTTTGGGGGCTTAAGGTGGTAGACTGTAATACAATAGCATTTATAAATATATATTAAGCAAAAAAATGATAAAATAATTGTAACTAATGTAACATGAAAAGGACATACATAATATTTGAGTTAGCACCTTCTTGTTGCTTTCCTCTGAAATATGCTTAAAATGAAAGATATTTTGCGAACTAATTATATACAGTTTACTTTTCAAAGGGAAACTTTTAAAAAGCTACCAAATTAAAAAAACAAAAAAAACATACAAAATAATGTAGCTGGCGTAACATGACTTTGGAACTGATGTAATGTGTTTGAATGCAAGCAATCAAAACTAGAACAATGTCAGTTCTTTTACAGAATTATAAATACTTCACTGTAGCAGTTATAATGTACTTAACTAAAACATACATAACAGTGTTTTAATGCTTGTCCATCATGTTATATTAATTATGACAATAAAAATTGTCCGCATAAATTTATTAGATGTCAACAAAATAAAATTCAAATAAAATTTCTATTAAAATGTGCAGGCAAAAATAACTGCTTTATGATTTAAATTTCAAACATAGTTCTTTTCAAAAAATTTGTTTGATAGTGAAATTGGCAACTCCAGGGAAGCCTTACGGGATTCAGCATCAGGAAAAGCATATGCAGCCTTTTTAGTTGAGATTGCAGAGAAAATTCCATTATTTGTGCTGCCTTCGATGTCTTTTGTCCTTAATCTCCTGGAGGGCGAGGTACACCTTGTGCATTTATGTTTTATCTTGAAATGTTTTTCATTTTTAAATTATTTATATTAATTTCGCTTTTGTTTGTGGCTGGGGGGGCAAAAACTTTGACCAACTTTCCATCAAGCTATGGAGCTGAAACTTGGCACATAGACTCGTTGCCGAGAATAACACATTCTGTCAAATTTTCAGAGAAAGATTTCACTTTTATTGAGCTGATCTTAGGTAAATTTTTATGAAGTGGTTGGGATGTATCCAAAATTTGTTTAGTTTTACAACAGCATTTTTCTTTAAATGGTTCCTCAAGTGAAGGATGTTTAGTTTTTGTGATGTAACTAGCTTTTTTGATTGGTCTATTTAATTGGCGTTTGATGTTAGATGAATTCTAACACAGCAGGTAATACCTAAGTTTATTAGGCACTGCAGAATAAGTTAGTAACTTGTTGGTTTATGCCGAAATTGTACAATTTTTTTAAGATAGAAAAGTCTTTTTTTTTTTACTTTTTGAATACAGAATTCGACAGTGTTCATGTCATCTTATTATTAATGGTGACACCTAGGTACTTATATATCTCTACTTGCTCTATACTATGATTATTTAATGTGAGGATTGCAATTGGGTGATTTCCCCTCTGGAAATCGACAATTTCTTTCATTTTTAGACACTCAACTGAAGAGAATTTTCATCGCACCAACTGACAAAGCTCCTCATTTTATCGATTTATTTACCTTTTCATTTAGATCAAACACGCATATCTAAATTTTGTTTCTGTCAATACCCTAAGGTCTCATGAAAAATTTTGTTTTGGAAACATACTGAATTAAAACGTGAATAATATTCTACCAAATTATAATCATTGTGAAATATAGCAAACATTATGTTCTTTTATTTCTGTTATATTTTAAATTTATTTTCCTCTGAACCTTTGAATGCAACACTTTTCATTCATGATAAGTTCCAGCTCTTGGGTTGTTCATATTATAATTTACATCAGAAACATAGCCAGAGATGTCAAAATCTGATAATGACTTTCTTCTTTTTCAGTCATACACTTTGCGTAATGGAGTCCTTGGCATGATGGGAGAGATCCTTATTAAGTGTCTGTGCAAAGATGAAGTAGATGAAAAGTTTCGAGTAACAAGAGACCTGTTTTTTGACAGACTAGAGGTTAGTGTTAATCCCTCTTGGGTTTGTATAGTGAGTCTTGCCTTGTGATCTCAAATGTTGATTTATCCATCCAATAAAGTATTTATAAAAGGCTAGACAAAAACAGGACAGATGGTACAATGGCCCCTAAATTTTGTTACCCCCTGTCGAAATTTTCAAAGCTTCTTTTTAGCCAATATATAGTTCCAAAAAATTTGCTGGCTCTTGAGAAAGAGGGGCTAGCTAGAATTATTTTTAGTCTTCTCTATTCCAAGTTTTATTATTCTCTTAATTACAAAGAAATCTTATGTACAGTTAAAAGTTTTGTAGGGTTGCACTGATTAGCAAATTGGCTGATTACCCATTAATCAGTCTCACATAATCTGTAAATGTTGTCGCTCTTTCTGCATTGACTGAGGAGACGTTTCGGGGAGGTACATAAGTGATCTGTCACACAGTTGGCGATGCATCAGTTTTCTGCTTCTTTTTTCTTGATCAGTTTGTAACCAATGCCATCTTGATAGAGGGTTTTCAACTAGCTTCCTTGTAAACATTGGCAAGTGGCTTTAAAGACTATCCATTATTACCGTCCCAATTGTCCACCCCGATTCATCCCATCAAGTTAGACTCCTTCATTGCACATTTTTCAAACTATTTGATCCTCACTCCCACATGATGCCCGAAACCATTTATGGATGGCTTCTTAATACACACATTTCTTAAAAATCTATTAAAAACTTTTTGCATCACCCGCAAAGAAATTAGTCATTTAAAATTTATAATTTGCAAGCATTGTTTAATCTATTTAAAGACACATTACAGATTACCTACAGATTAATCTATGCAACACTAGTTTTTTTTTTTTGCATTGTGTCATTAGATATGTAAACAATCATGTAATTTAATGCGTAAGCATTTCTATCACAGGATCATGTACATGATGTTAATGCTTTTGTGCGAAGCAAAGTACTTCAGATTTGGCTTAACATTGTTGCTGAAAAGGTAAGCATTTTTTTTATATTGGTGATTAAAAAAAATAACCTCTTTAAAAAAAAATAGATTTGAACAGAGTTATAATGATTGCAGCCGGTGATAGTAGCTTATTTTTATTTTGCAGACATTTCTCATCTTATTTTGACTACAAATGCTGAATTGTTTTTCCACAAGACTTCACTAGATGTCGATCAGTAAAATAATGAACAATTTTTCAAAAATACATTTCAGTCTCTGCCTCTGCTAAGACAAGAGTCTGTCATGACATTAGTGGTTGGCCGACTCAGTGACAAGTCAAGTATTGTCAGACGCCATGCACTTCAACTGGTCACTGCTCTTCTAAGGAGCAATCCCTTTGCCGCTCTGGTTTGATTTGCTTGCTACTATTTAGCCAGGCATATTAATTTATTAGCCAAACACTACTAGCATTAAACAAATCCTTGCATATTAATTTCAATCTTTCTTTTACTAATAATTAAATAGTTCTCAATATTTTTAATGCACATATTTAATTTTATTCCCAGGTATTTCAGTGTTTTTTAAAATGTCATCTTGAAACTGTCTCAACTAAATATTCGTTGAAAGCCTTTAACTTTATATATGAAAGGAAAATTTATCAAAATGTATTTGTCAAACAACTTTAGCATTCAAATATCTAGATTGATATGAGGACTAAAAGTAAACCTAATAAAAAAGATTCGCCTTTTTGTATTTTAAACTTCATTTCATTAAATAACAATAAGTTATCTTTAAAAAATAAGTATTAATTTCAAATCTATGTTGTTTTGAACAATTTCACATGTTATCCTTAGAGGTTTAATGTTTAATCATTAGCTCCCAGTTGACGAACTCAGAACAAATTATGAGAAGGAAAAAGCTTTGCTAGAGGAAATGACCCCAACACCAGCCACACCATTGGCTTCTGTTAATGACCAAGTGACACAAGAGTGGAAACAGATTGAAAGTCAATTTAAAAAATCCATGAAAGCTGGACTTGAAAGCTTGGCAACTAGACAAAAGGAGTTGGCCAGTTTGATTGGTGATGATGATACTACTGAGGTGTAAGTTTTCAGAGGTGTACTTATCTAGTGTTGCACACAAAAATTCAGTGTCAAAATTTTGGAAAGAAAATTAAGTTTATTTTATAAGTGGACATGTAGATCATTAATAATTAAGTAAGGATCTATCTATTTTCATAATTTCTGTATGAAAAAATTCCATAATTTTTATTATTATGTCGTACAAGATATATGTGGACACTTGGTAAAGGGTCAACTGAGAACAACCAGTGGAGATTAGTTTTATTATTTTTTAAGTCTGTGTACATACAAGTTATGCTATGTAATGATTGTAGGCACTCATGCTTTTGTGGGGTGGGGGGATGTCAAATGGTTTGATTTTGATGTGCTAGTTGTGATTGTTAACATAAGAGAATAGGGGAAAGAGTTGCTTTGTTAAAGTTATAAAAAAAATCAACTTTTAACTTTTTTAACTGCTGCTTAAGATCTTTAACAATTTAATGTCCAACTGACCTGACTATTAGGATCAGTGGGAAAGTGAACTTTTTTAATGCTAAATAAAAATGCAATTGTTTTTTAAAAAAAAAAAAAAAAAAAAGAAAAAAAAAGAGTATGGTTAAACCTGAAAAATTAAACGCAACAAAAAAACAAAAAAAACAGAAAAAAAACAAAGAAAAAGAAAAAAACAAAAAAAAAAAAAAAATAAAAAAGCCTCTGCCTAGCCCTAGTCACTAGCTTAAGGTGACCAAATCAGGATTCGGAAAAAAACAGGACGCTTTTAAGGACGGTAGGTTGTTTGTTTATTTTTTTTGTTGTTTTTTTTTTTTTGGGGGGGGGGGGATACCCTTCATTTAAAGAGGGGTCCGGGGGCCTCGGCCGGGAACTGTTTATTGAAATATGCTCATTTTAACTATGAAATCCAACCTAGAAATCTGCTTGGGGCACTCACTCTTTTCCTATGATTCACTGATGAGATGTGTTGTTTTATGTCTGAACGTCCACCATGACCAATACTAAAAACATTATTGCAAACTGTGCACTTGGCTTCACTTTCATAGCGTCCCATTTTAATCCAGTTCCACTCTTTGGAATACTCATCCATAAACTTACATTGACGCTTGGGCATAATTATTGTTTACATGATAAGATAATATAAAATTAAAAAATAAAGTTCATCACCCAAAACAAACACCTGTCATTCTGACACGAACAGGGGTAATGAGGGGAGAGACTGCAATCAGGTTAGTACAAAATAAAATGAGTAAAATAGAGTATGGTTAAACCTGAAAAATTAAACGCAACAAAACAGCGAACGTGTCGGCAGAAAGCCTTCGTCAGCGAACAAAACAACAGAAAAAACGTTATAAAAATAAGAAATAGCACTTAGCTGGTAAGTAGTATCTGT